TAGCCGCGATTTTCTTTAGGTTTATCTTAACTCCCTCTATAGATATAATAAAGCCTAGGAATTCTGTCTCTTTAACATAGAATTCGCACTTTCCTAGCTATAGGTATAGCTTATATTTCTTAAGCTTTCTAAGCACTTTCTTAACATGTTCTATATGTTCTTTAAGCAATCCGCTAGAGTACACTAGTATATTATCTAGGTACGCTGTAACAAAGATCCCTAGGTACTTGTAGAGAGCGTTATTAATAACTAATTAAAAGGTTACCAGCGCGTTTATTAAACTAAATAGCATAACTATATACTTAAACAGTCCGTATTTTATTTTAAACGCTATTATCTATTTATAACCTTTTTTAATCCTAATTTAGTAAAATCCTTCCTAAATATTAAATTTTGTAAACTACTTAGCTTCTTAGAGTTAATCTATAAGCTCTATAATAAGTAGTAAGAGATATTAGTTCTTTCTTGTAACGCTGTTTAACCTTTAGAAGTTAATATATAGTCGCTACTTTCTGTTAGGCTTCTTTACAAATAAGATAGGTAAGGCTATTAGGCCTAATCCTAGTTAGATAAATCCCTTCTTTAGATTCTTCTAGATATAGTCTCTTAGCTTAGTATTATGCTTAGGCGCTATTAGGTACATTAGTTCTAGGCTTAGCTTAGCTCCTTTATCTAGAATAATCTTATAATCCTACTCCTAATAGTCTACTAGATTAGTAGCCTTGTTTTTCTTAAAGAGTTTCTTAAACTTGTTAGTTTAATACTCTTGTAGTATTTCTAGTAGTAAGAGTCCTTTCTTTATAGTCGCAACTTTCCTTATCTAAATAACTTCTATTTTCTAAGAGTCCTTTGCATAGATTCTTATAATCTTATATAGTAAGATACTACTAAATCTCCTATTCTAGAGTAAGCTCTAATTTGTTAGGCGTGTCTTATAGCGTACTCCTACAACCTTATACATAGGTTCTCTTTTAAGTATTGTTCTTATTCGCTAGTTAATAGCGGGGTTATAGGCGTCTAGCTAGTTATAACTTATTAACATATCTAGTCCTTCTAGATCTATAATATTAATATCTATTTAGTATTCTATGCCCACTATCTATAGCTTAGTAGACTTAGTTTCTATTTATATTATACTACTTCTATATTCTATAGGTTTTTTGTTAGCTAGTATTATTAAAATTAGTTTACTCTTAATTTAATATAGTATTTCGTGTTTCTTAACTACTTATAGAGAGATTAATGTCTATGCAGCCCTACTATTTATAAGCGCCTAGATGTTCTAACCTTATATAGATATAGTTATAAGCAACTACTTTACTTAACTATTAGTATCCTATACTTTCCTAAGAGTTGTTTTAGGTATACCCTCACTAGTATAACTTTATTTCTAGCGGCATTTTAGTTTTTTGCCTACTTACCTTTTCTTTTCCTAGGAAAGTAGCCTATGTTAGTTTTAGAACTATAATAGATTGTGTATCTATTATTATAACAAAAGCTCTAATAAAGGTTCTAATAAAGTATCTTTTTCTTAGTAATTTTCTTTCTTAGCTCTGCCTTCTTAGCTTTATAAATAGAGTAGTCTATTACTTTGTAGATATTTAATAATAGAGTAACATAGTAGTAGTTGTCTACTTATTATGCTTTCTTAAGTTAGTTATAGTAGAAGAAACATCTATTCTTACACTATAGCTATAAAAGTCTCTTATAGATTTCTATTTTCTTAGGCTTATAGAGGTAGTAGTTGTCTACTAGACACTTATCTACCCACAGGTTTAGGTAACAGCACCTTTCCTAGTTCTTTCTACAATTCTCTTTATTCTTTTAGTAGAACTCGCACTCTACTTTATAGTTATACTAGCACAATTCTTAGTATTCTCTAGTATCCCTTTCTTTAGGTCTTTTAAGGTTAAGAACCTCTATTCCTAGGTTCTTAAAGTATAGTTATTAGTGTATTATCTAATACCTAACTTCTTTAGCGTCTAGGCTAGTTATTACAATTTAGTTCTGCTTTATATAGTTATTAGCGTAATATGCAGCGTCTCTATATACCTAACACTAGTTCTTTACTAGTTGTTCTAGTATAACTTTATTCTTAACTTTCTAGTTAGTTTTCTTAAGTTTCTTTATTATAAAAATGTTGTTAGCTCACTTTAGTTACTAAATAACCTTATAGTCTTCCTCTATGCGGGCTTTCTTATAGAGATCTATATCGCTAAGATTATTATCTAGTTCTATCTAAGCTAGGTAGAGCGTGCCCTATCTAACTATCCTAATCTTAATAGCTACTTACTTACTTACTTTACCTATAGAGTAGTCTTAGGCAAAGTGTCTAACTTTACTATATTAGAGATATGCCTTCTTATTATAACGTCTCTGGCGTTCTTTCTTAGAGAGACTGTCTTATCTCTTCTCTTAGAGTTTCTTATCTTTAGCCTTCTCTTATACTTTGCTAGTTATAATAGCATTGCTATCTCTATTATACCTTCTACGCTATCTCTTTATATTAGCTATGTTAGGGCGAAAGTATTTCTTCTAATTATTTTGCTCTTATAGCCTATTATTAATACGTGTAGTAAGCTTAATTAACGTATATAGTGTTCTAGGCTTATTATAGTGTATAAGGCTATTCTTAACATTTTTCTTAAGGCCTACTTTAAAGACTATTTAAAGTGCTGTATTATCCTAATTAATCCTAGCCTATAGTTACTTAAACTCCGCCGTGTAGGCTAATATAGACTTAGTCTGCCTTAGTTAAGTAATCTATTTCTTAGCCTAATTCTTTGCGTCTACTTCTCTAAAGATGCGTTCTATTTCTTGTTTAAATTCTATCTAACTTATAAACATAGTTTAGGTTTCTTCTTTAGTTCTATATTATATAATATCTATAAAGTAGTTGTCTACGTATAGCTATATCTAATTAGAAGCCTTTTCTTTTAGGTACGTGCTTACTATAAGAATCTTTTTCTAGTTATTAGGTACTTTATTAAACTCGCAGTACAAGTTAATGTTAGTAAGAAACGTTTGTAGTTCTTCTTAACTTCTATTGTACTTCTTAAGTAACGCTATCTTAGATTTCTTTGTAGTAGATAATTATTTGTTAGGAGTAGCTATTAGCTAACTTACAAGCTAATTAATTATGTTCTACATCTTAAGCATCTACTAAGACTAAACTTAGGCCTATTGCCTAAGATATCTAAGCTCTGTAGCACTAGAAGTATTTTCTATCTCTAAGTTAGATACATCTAGCATCTTATTATTTACTAGTGCTAGTGCTAAGAGTTCTAGACCCTAGGCCGCGTTGTTCTAAGTAACTCTTAGAGCTAACATCTTTCTTAATTAGGCAACCTAGTTATTATTTACGTCTACTAAATCTAATAGTAGTCAAAGTGTTACATAGAGTTAGGCTATACTTCTCTAGGCTTAGTCTATACTAAGGTAAGGTAGACTAAAGCGGTAGTCTATAAGGTTTGTCTAGCAACTTAGTAGAAAAGAGTTATTATAGAATAACTTATAGGTAAAGACAATCTAATTCTATAAATAATAAAATAACTAGTTAATAATCTATGTAAGAGATAAACTATTTAAGTTAACTATAATAAGTATAATAATAAAATCTAACACATTCTTATACCTATTACCTTAGGTTCTACTATCTTGTCTATCCTATCTTTATAGAATATCTATAATAGTAGTGCTATCCTTTTATATGCTGCTATCTCTAATAGTTAGCCTTAGCGGGATAGCATATTACGTAACCCCTAGCCCCGCGATAATTATTGCCTTCTATTAGAGGTTCTAGTTAGTCTTCAACCCTCTACCTCTAACAAGAAGAGAATCCTTCTTTGTTACTTATAACAAAGTAGCTATTATATTACATAACTATATTACAAGGTAAATAATTTAAATATTAGGCTAACTACTATTAACTAGTATAGAATGCTTAAGATAGTAGAGTTATAGTATATTGTCTAGTAAAGATAAACAAATTGTTACTAACTTAGCTACAATTTCTAAGAGTTACTTATACTTATACTAGCGCTAGTTACCTAATGTATTAGAACGTAGGCTTCTAATAATTATACTATATTTCTATTTCTAGCTCTTCTACTAATAAGAGCTACCTATTATTACTAGTAGTATCTACCTCTATAGCTTAGAGAGCTTATTTCTATATTAACTTCTAAATAGAGAATATTTTAATATTTATATAGCTTTTTAGACCTATAGTTTACTTATTACTACTTTTAAGTTTATCTCTAAGTTTACTAGAAACGCTTTTATTACTATTAAATCTAAAAGTATATTATTATTAAAGTACTAGATTTATAGTAAATATTACTAAAAAAGAGTTTTATTAATACTTATAGCTATATATAGTAAATATAAAGTATTTAGAAAATATATCTATATTAAGATTACTATATAGAGTTACTAACTATATTTTATTACTCTACTCTATATTAACACTCTACTATAATAAGATATATATAACTTATCTAATAAAAGATTTCTACTAAGTCTTATAGAACTACGTAACCACTATAAAGTAGTGTTATCTATTAGTAGATAAAGGCCTACTTTTTGTCTAGGTTGTTTAGAGTCTCTTTCTGCTACTATTCTTTATATATAGTTAAGTGTTTTTCTATTCTTAGGTTCGTAACATATTCTTTATACATAATTAAGTGCTATCTATTCTCTGGTTTGTAATAGTTACTAAGAGTACTTTAAGTAATATTATAGATAGCTAGACTATACTACTAAGAAGAAGTTACGTTGCGTTAGAGAGCTTTAACTATAATCTATAATTAAGCCTTCTTTAAAGCTAGTAGACCTTTTAGTTATAAGCTTGTTATTATTATAAGGTAGGTAATTGTATAGTTTAATAGAGTCTTAGCAGAGTAATTAACTTGCCTACGTAATTAACTCGCTCGTAGAGTACGTTGTAAGCTATTCTTTTAAACAGTTTGTTTCTCTACTCGCAAAGTCTACCTTACAGAATGTTGGAAACATTAATAACAACGGCAAGCTATTTGCTATTAGCTTGCCCCGTACACTCTTTAGTAAGGGAAATGTTGTGTTTTATAATAATAGATCTTTTAACTAGCAGCGAGCTAGTTAGTCTATCTTGCGGGCTGTAAAGCCCCCTCTACTAAACACTAGTAGCGAGACCAAACACGCAGACAGTTTCGCTCCGTGGGATAAACTAAGTAAGAGTCTTAAAGAAAATTTACTTAAAAGGGACTTAGTTAGTGCACACTCGTTTCTTGATCTTCGCAAGAAGGGATCGCCTAAGTACTTCGCCGATGTCGACCCGTATAGCCAACTTATGGCGCCCTACTGGATTGTCTCGACTCACAAACCTTCTGGTCGCAAGACGCTATATGTTGGCAACTACCTGCACCACATAGAGAACGCAGATGGTACGCCACTACCGGAAGAAGAGAACGCATTTCTCATAAAGAAGCTGATTAGTCATGTTACGCGACCGGAGAATGTACTGAGGCTAGAGTGGTACGACAATGGAGATATGGTTGCTTGGGACAATGTATCCACACTGCACCGTACTACAGGGGGTAGCTATGAAGGCAAGTTCACGCGCGACATGCGCAGAACCACTGTCAAGGACAACAGCTCGGAGACTTGGGGCCTCAACTCGACAGCGGAAGTGCTTGCGACGGACGGTTTTAACCTCCAGAGCCCAGACCTTTTCAAGAAACAACTTAGTCGCACTAGTGTTAATAACTACTACTAATTTTATTAATTTGTTAAACCTGCCAGTGCGTAAATGTAGGCATAATGTAAGATGCGCTCCACCCCAAGGTGAAGCTCAAGATTGGTACCAACGGCCAAGTAAGAGATGTAGAAATGCAAGATCTGCTCTTCACTACCGTCGGGCAACTGCTGGAGTCCTCTTGGTCGAGTGGAATCTCAAAGCATCGAGCGCTGGATCGGCTGCGCTGTGGGATTGCCACGCACGTGTTGGAGGCACCACCAGGACCTAATTGACGCCAAAGGAATGCCCACCAGTAACCAGTGTCGTTGATCAATGCTGCAATGCTGCAAGCCTGATGTTGCATCTGGCGTCGTCTGGCTCGACATGTCTCGAAAACGCGTGGTTCTGGATCGCAGATCACATGATTAAGTAAGTACCACCTCTTCTCCGTCCGCTAGCGTCTTTGTCTAATGAGCCTGAAGCGATTTCGATCTCTAAAGCAGTGCCAATAACATGGTATAAAACTCGGTGTATGTTGCGCGTAGCTTCTTGGCTGAAAGTACCGAGTCGACATGGTAGCTTCAGCTCACTCTCAACTGCCGCGGTTGTCGCAGTCAGGCTTATGAATAATACGCTTTACGGTATTGCATCAGAGCATGCTGTATCTTATCAATTCAACTTTCACCGAGCCCAAAACATCTCTGCGGGCTTACTCCAGATAGAGTGACCATACTACCAACTCATGCCACCTCCACCCGCTCCCTTCAAGTCCGTTATTTGCGTCTTCTCAGGCAACCTGACAAACGAATGTATCGCTGACGATGTGTTCAGTGGGTGTGACAAGTTGTGGGCGATCATAATGCGAGAATCGCAGAATGTCTTGATCGCAAGCGCGGGCCTATACTCGTGGTTCTTGACGTACGCGCAGACCTGCATCGACCAGCAACTGTGCTAGAAAGCCCTGCTTTTACTTAACAAGAACTTCTCTAATGTTAGGACTCAACACCTCGTTACTATTACCGCCAAGTATATAGCAGTTATGTATGGTAAGGGCATACTAGCCAAAGATAATTCCAACGTCGATTCACACCCCTTCTGGTCGCATATATCTGTGTTTGACGTCAGCAGCATCGGGTCCATGTACGATGAGTATATCTGGGTGTATCCTGGAATTTGGGACATGGAATAGCCTGCGTTTACTTGCTCACCCCCTTGCAATGTCAATATTTCCCCGTGGGCCCACGCTACAAGCCCACTGAACTATCCATTGATCACGGTCAGTGATGGCGAATGGACTAGCTCCATCACGAAAGCGCCCATGACGATATCGGAGTGGATTTTTGAGCCAGTGACACTGACTGGACAAGCTGTCAATCAGAAGCGCCAGAGCTTCGAGGCGTTTTGGCCTAAACCCGCGACCACACCCCACTTACCTTCGGTGATCTGTGCCGATTCAGCTTATTATCGGTCAGATCGAGGAGCCCTTGGTGAATGAGTGTAGCTTCATGGACTGGGTTTGCTTCACCGAACCACTAATCTTCGGCGACAATAACACCATCTCGGATGGGGATGATGGCGATTTCGACGAGAACTGGGAAGACAGTTGGGTCGTCTGTCCAATACCGAGCAATTCCTCGTCTAGTTCGACCTTTTCAACGACGGCGACGAAAACAACGAGTGAGAACCAGCCGGAGCCTACGGCATCTCCGCGCGAAAGCGATCCAATGCAGAACAAAGTCGACTATTACGGTGGTTTGGACCGGAAGACGGAGCATGCGCGCATGGACAGCGCCATCAACGACTTTTGCAGTGCATTGGGTAGCTCGGATGACGTCTTCAAAGAAGACTACTTCGAGTCGTCAACCTTCACATTCTACCATAGTTCAAGAACTGGTGTTCACATCCTCATATCTCTCAGCGTTGACAAAAGCTGTCAGTTCAAGTATAGCTACTACTTGTGCCGCAAATCCCCGGAGGTTCCCGTTAACAGCTGTCAATGCCGAGGTGTGAGCGGAAAGCAAGGCGGTTTCTTTAATAACGACTGGTACGAGTGGAGGATTAGTCTGCAAACGGTTTTCTGATCACGAGGCTCTATTCTTTAGCTGATCAGCTCTGTCGCGAGCTTATAACATGGGCTGCCTATACTCCCTTTGTAGTATGCAGTAGTCGATAGTTAACGAGGTATTAAAGCCGTGTGGGTGTTCGAATCGATCATCTAGGCGTAATCGCTGCCCGAGGCGCGCGCGTTCTCATATGAAAAGTGACGATTCGTACCTACCTCACGCCCAGCGCCACGTGCCCGTGCAATTCTTACCGTTTGTGCCCTACCATCGGCTCATTGCATCATTCACGTGAGCGACTATCTGCGACCTAGCTCTACTCGTAATCTTTGTTAAGGTTGTGAGTCGCAATTCTTTTGAGGCTGCCGACACCAGACAACTCTTGTGGAAATGCAGTGCGAGACTAAGTAGAGGTGATCCAAACGATTGCGCGAACCCGGCAAGCGTAGGCCGACAGCACCATCTGGTGGTACCTATAGCGAGGCTGTAGACGGTTCCTAAGGCGTATAAAGCGACCCTGGTGTGTGCGGGAGCCCGAAGGGATACATGTGCTACTCTTCTTCCATGGGTCTAGGTGGGACTGCGGCCTTCCTCAGCGAATAGTGTTCACAATCTCAAGAGAGAGCTGGCTTACTTCGTTTCGGGCATGATCACAGCTTCGAGATTGGCATGTTTCCGGTGAACGAGATAACTTCAGAAAGTCTTCTTTTGTACAAGGTGATCTCCATTCAGCTATTTACGGCTGTTGCGTCGGTGTTTCTCTGACCCAATAGTACAAAAGTCTCGCATACTTCAATGCGATAGTAGTACACCTAATACAGGCAGTAGCTAAAGAAGAAGCGAGCGACAGTCTGAATCCAACGAGCACTTCGTGTGTGGACTGGGTAACAACTTCAGTAAAGGAATGACAAAAGGGCCCCCTCCCAAGGCACATGATACGACCTCAAAAAACGACCAAGCTGTTGTAAAGAGAAGAAGATGTTGACTATATGGACATTGTTTTGAAAAGAAAGCTCTCAAACCGACACGCTGTCGCGTAACAACGAGAGGTGGTCAGCGCGAAGAGACAAAGGAATTATGTCGACTGCTTCCTGGACACGCTGTCACTGGCGCACCTTCCTGTGGGAACACCGCCAACGCCATGCTGCGAAAGACGTGCGTAGACTTTAATATCAAATGCGCAATTTAATGAATATGTGCAGGACAACTGGCACGACGCTGCCTAGGGGTCCACTGGACTGTTCGCTCGGAGAGTTGGGTTTGGGTCGGGTGTCATGGCAGGCTTTGCTTTCGGCGTGGGATCCGGATCTGGACTAATCGCGTCCTTCTGCGCCTTAGGAGTTTCGATGACAAAGTCAGTCACATCATCGCCGGGTTCTTCGGGAAAGAGGACTGGCGGTGTAAGCGACGTAGGCGCCACTGCAGGTACGTCAAGGCTGCCCTCGTATTCCTCTGCCGCGCGGTCCTCTGTGATCATCGGAGGCGGAGAGGAAGGTAGTGTTGAATCTGGCTGCCCAGGGTCCTCGACAGAGATGACGCTGCCTCTGCTGTTCGTTCGCATCATCTCAATTCCAAGTTTTGACGTTGACTTTGGTCTCGACCTGGGACTGCGAGTGCGCACTGGGGCGTGACCCAACTCATCGTCTTCGTCATCCCCAGACTCTGCCGACTCGTGTTTGCGTGTCTCCAAAATGCGACGTTTGGCGCCGACTTGCTCTGTCGATCTCTGGCGGCGGATCGTTGCCTCCTCAAGAACGGCTGGCGCGGAGTCCCCGTGGGGCAGGTCAGGTGCACCAACACGATTGGGAACAGCTGTTTTCGCATCGGCATTAGCTGCATCGTCAGAAATTCCTAAGCCACTCATAGCTCGTGCGATGTCGCGCTCCCGCCAATCGTCAGCGTTGTGGATTCTAACTGGCAAATCCTCGCCTGCACGACTGTCATTGTCACCGAAGAAGCTAGAACTAATAGAGTCTTCGCGGCTCGAACCTCGGTAACTGGCAGAAGGGACGGGTGGATAGCTTGAGGAATTTGAGGTGGTGGGGCTGTCTTCCTGGCGCGATGACTCTTGTCGAAGACCAGAGGGCATCATCGATGGGTACATCTGGGTCGGTGTCCAGCCTGGCGGTGGTGCTTTCCATTGGCACAATCTACTCAGCGTGTCCGTAAGCTTCGCCACAGTAGGCGGCTTTTCGATGAGTGCATCGAAGTAGTGAGGCGCCTGCAGCTCCTTCAGGTATCCAGTAACAGCGACAATCGGAGTATGCGTATTGGCATTCTTGGTGTCCCGAATCATGCGGGCAACATCTGCACCGTTGACCTGAGGGAGTCGGAACTCCATCATGATCACATCGAATTTGACCTCGCCCATCGCATATCGTATAGCTTCTGAGCCATTGGTAACGGTCAAAGTGCGGCAGCGCAGCTTTTCAAGCAGCTTCTCCATGACGAGCCGTGATACTGGGTGGTCCTCGCAAATCAATACGTCCAATGGCCGAAAGAACGGGCCATCGCCAAAACTAATCTGCGAGAGTCTTCGAGAGCTCTGACGGCGTCGCTGGACTCGAAGCAGCGCTTTTGCACGGGAGTCTTCCGTGTCGGATGACGATGGTGACACATCAAGCACTTGACTCCGGCGTTTGTAGTGCCCAGGTAAGAGATCACGCACAACATCGTCCTCTTGAGACCCAAGTGTTTGGGACCGAGCGCGTGGCGAAGAAGCGTTTGTCTGTGCCGATGACTGGCGTTGTCCAGTGACGGGCTTCTCTTGCGAAGCCGCGGGAGGTGCTGACGGTGTCTTTGAAAGCCTGTTTGGTGAGACAGCTTCTGGCGACGGTCGCAAGCCTGACACACGGGAAGGATCGAAGAAGCTACCAGGTTGTAGCGAGGACGGGTTGCTAGTCGAATGCGACAACGTAGACGAGCTACTAGACGTCTTGCGTCGGTCATGTTGTCCTGTGCTGAACTGCACGAGCAAAGGAGATGAGGGCTGTGAGCCACGACTTGGTGAGGAATGCGGTCCGCTCATCGAGGGAGAAGAGGGCCGCCCAGTGGCTCTGTTGGTAGATAGCGTGCGTTTAAGCGGTCCAGGCAGCATCGGGCTGTTTTCCAGAGACGGCGAAGGCGATGTCACACTGGGCGACTGCAGCGGAGGAGCAGGCTTGTTTTGTGGAAGCATGGCTTCAGCACGCAACTTCTGGATGACGTCCTTGTTCGCCTTCTCTAGGACAGGCAAATTCTTATAGCTGAAATTTCCAAAGTCATCAGTTGCCATTGGTTCACTAAGTCTTCTGGACCTGCCTTCCCGCACATGAGCTGGGATATGGAGAGGGATCAGTCCCCGCTTCATAGTCGAAACGGTCACCTGAGAGCGGACTCTAGACAAAGCATCGTGCGGTCGGTCAGGATAATCGGTACTTGGGGTTCCTGCCGGTGTAGTAGCTTGGTCTTCGAACTCTGGACTAAAGTTTGCCATGGCGGCTCCTCTGGTGTCGAAATATTCCGTGTCCTCTGGATTTTCAGGTGCAGGAATGAAGGATGCTTCATCATCCCGCAAGGTGTCCCAGTTGACATCCGCAAACCACGGATGGCTGCGGATTTCCTCTCCACCACTAGCGTATTTGTCGTCCTTGTTCGCTCCAAGACGTTGTGCAGGATCAGAGCACATCAACCGATTCATCAGATCCTTCGCATCGTCGGATATATCGTATAGCTCATCATCATCCTCTGGCCAGTCGATTCTACGCGCGAGAATGTTCTGGAACACCTCATCGGGCGTATCAGCGTGGAATGGAGGATATCCATACAGGGACTCGAAGAGAATGCAGCCTAAAGACCACCAATCACTAACTTCATCCTGGCCATTACCGGCGATGGTTTCAGGGGCAAGATAATCTGGCGTTCCGACGAATTTGCGGTCGCTATCTTCTGGGTCGAACAAAGCCATGGGTGGCGGAGGCATTGCGGATGACGAGGGCGCAAACGCCGTGTTCTGAGCTACCACAGACTGACTCAGAGAATTTGTAGCAGGGTAGAGGTCGGGAGAACCATCGTCGCTGTAGGCCTCCTCTTCTATCGGTGACCGTCCGCGAGGCTGGCCAAAGGAATCGTCCGCTATACTAAAGCGACGGAACATGGCTTGTAGCGCATCACTGTCCTGGCTGTCGCTCCGAGTGCCCGAAGTCCGCCTTGACGGCTCACGACTTTGTTGGGAATTGTCTCGATTGAGGCTAAAGTACGATGGTTGGCCAATGTCTCCAGCGAGAGCAGGCGTCATGGACGGCGTCTGTGAAGGCGAGTGGTTCAGATCAAAGGATGCAGATCGTGAAGATCCTACAGACGTAGCGCGATGGAAAGGGCCGGTCTTGAGCAGGTCCGGCGCAGGCTCGACGGACTTGAGTGCACGCTTCTGTCGGCCAATCATACCCATGCGCGACAAACCGAAATCTGTCAATTTGAGATGACCTTTTCCATCGATCAGGAGGTTGTCCGGCTTGAGATCGCGGTGGACAATGCTGCGACTGTGCAAATGTTCGACACCAAGTACCACCTCAGCGAGATACTTCTTCGCCCAGTCTTCTGGTAAAGCACCCAAGACCTTGATGAGCGAGGCGCAATCACCGCCGTTCAAGTATTCCATGACGAGATAGAGGTAATCCTTGCTAGAAAAGGTCCAGTACAGTTTGGCGACGAAATCACTCTCGCCTTGCCACATCATGATAGCTCGCTCAGCCTTTACGTTGGTGACCTGATTCTTAGCCACCATGTCGGCCTTCTTCAAGACTTTAATAGCGTAGTATTCTCCGGTGGATTTCTTCTTGGCTAGGTAAACGCTACCGAAAGCGCCTTTGCTGATGGGTTTGATAATCTCGAAATCCTTGATGGACGGAGGAACTGCGCGTGGCTGTGGCTGAGTGGTGGGAATCAAACGAGGAGAAATGGGTCTTGGGCCGTCTGAACCAGCAGTAGACGACTGTCTCCTGTGATGATTCAGAGCATGTACCATTGCTGGCGAAGAGAATTCGGTAGTCGGCAAGATTGGTGACGTGATTGGTGATTGCAAGCCTTCCATGCCACTAGGTAGGCGCGGCTTAGTTGTCCGTAGAGGTGAAGATGGCGGAGGTATCATGGAGCGGGCAGGTGAATGTTGTCGACTAGACATTACGCTCGGCAAGATCAGACTCTTGCGTTTGCGTTCACGTGAACTGGCTACCCTACTGAGTCCTACGTCGGATGTCGCTGGTGAATCGGCTCGGCGGGGGCCAGACAACACGGATGAACGCATGCTGGTATCACTCTCAGCACCAGCATCGCTCTCGAAATGCATGGATTGGCGCTTGCTGTGAGTCGCTATGCTGATGGCGCCTGCGTGCGATCGTGGTGTTTGACAACCCCCTTTAGGACTGCTAGACCGATTTGAACCGGCCACAGAAGATTCACGTCGTCCGACTCGTGCTGGCAACGAAGCGTCAGAAGTGTTACGGAGAGCTTGTGCTATGGAAGAGGGGGCGTCGAAGGATCCAGGAAATATGCCTTCTTCACCAGGAGCTGTATCGGTGTCATTGGCGTCGGATTGAACTTCTTCTTCGGGTCGTTCGTCTTCGGAGGAACTGTCCTCGCCGGCAGCGATACGAGCAGCTTTCAGGATCGCAGCCTCGATGCATTCCTGAACCAAGATATCAAATTCAATGCGCAGTCGTTCAGAGTACTCAAGCACCCTCCTATGACGAGTGACTGCATCGATCTTTGCCCTGGCAAGCCTGCTGGTATCTTCACACAACAGCTTCAGGCCCTCGGTGTGGTCAACCGAGCCTGTGGTAGGCGATTGCCATTGGAGGACTTGCGAGATGCGGTTCTCCGACTGTGGCGATTGTGTGCGGATCTCCGTGGCTGCTTGACCACGCCCGTTATCCTTGACTGCTGGTGTGTTGATCTCTAGTGCAGTATCGCACAAGTCCAGAACGAGTTCAACGATGCGAGCTAAGGGTCTCCGAACGGCAAATGATCGTGCGCGATGATGGCCAAAACCAGACGAGCGCTCCGAGCGTTCGCGTGATCTTGACGGGGGCGAAGCCGGAGAGTTGCGTCCAGATGGTGTGCCAGAAGATGGTGTTGATGTGGCGTGGATAATGAGGCCCTTGTACTCGGCTGGCTGAAGCGGCTGTACCGAGTCTACTGCTGCAGCTCTTGAACGCTGACTATGAGACTCAAGTGTATCGAGAACCTTGACGATGGCATTGCGGTGCTCAGCAAGCGTCTCTTGCGCCATCTGTACATCCATTTCGGCACGGTGCTCCTGGAGACATAGTTCCGAGTGCTTCTCGAACCACCACGGTGTGATTTGTCGTTCGCAGATTCGGCAGAGAACCGGTAGTGGCGGTGCGTGTTCGCCTGGGTTGGTTGCGCTTTGCTCGGCGAGGCCAGTGAGGTAGTGGGCTAGAACCTCAGCGCCCACCCCGAGGGATTCTACAAGGACTTCTGGGAGGTCGATTGTCACTTCGCGAATGATCGATGGCCGTACCATCCACATAGTCTATCACGGTTAGCATAGTCAGACGTCAAAACGAATTGGGACGTACATGGCTCTCGGCTCCAGTCGTTCGGTCGTATACCATAATTCCTTGAGCCTCGAGATTCAACAGCTGCTCCTCTTCCTCCTCTACGTGGGTAGGCGACATTGGCATTGACTCGGGGGCCTCGGCGGCGTGCCTCGATGGTCGCTTGCGCAGGATGGAATGGGGGCCCAGTCGCACGGTGAAACGGGCAATGTGACTCCTGGAGTCGTCTTTCCTAACCGACTCAATCGTCTCGGCGAAACCGTCGGCACCGCCGCATATGATTTCGAGTACAGGTCTGCCCGTGACTTCCTTGGGCAGAGAGCCAATGACGTCGGTCCACGAGGGGCTGACATAGCGGATCTTGCCCTCGAGGTCCAGGTCCATGATGATGTTCAGGCTGTGCTCGGCCGCCTCCTTGAGGTCTGCACGCTCGTTGCGCATGTCCTGACTAACGCTACGCTCCATGTTCTGTCGGTGGCCGCTGGAGCCGACAGCCTCCTGCTTCAGGGCAGTGACTGCGGGCGGGGCCAGCGTCGTGGGTTTCTTCTCGTCCGCCATGGCTGCGGTGGGTGGTTGCGTGTACACGGGAAGCCGCTATCGTCGCGAGAGCCCGTCGCCGGGGGGGATTGGGCGGGTGCCCGAGGGCTGGCTGGTGATGAGCTATGCGCAGATAGCTGCCAGGACCATGGTGGGAGAAAAGCGACGGTCCGGGAGAGTCGGGCGTGCAGCTGGGAAAGTACGCGTTGACGAGCAGTGCGGTAGTGCTTGCTGACTGCAACGAGAGTGGGTCTCGAAACCGGGATGAGGGACTAGACGAGCTGCATGGTAGTGCGAGCGTGCGAGAGTGCGAGGGGAGCGATTGGGTGATGTAATGAGCGTCGAGTGCTGGGGATGGGCAGAGGCGGTGGGCAGCAGGCGGCGGCCGTGGCAGTCGTCGCCGTTGTCGTGGTGGACGGGGGAGAGGGGTACACAATGGGCGTCGTCTCAGCCGGCAGCACAAGGCGTCGGCAGAAAGGCGTTGACAAAAAAGAAACTACGCCAGGCGGACGGATGAGCAGCTGCACGCATGGGATGGGCCTCGTCGGCACGCTATCCAGCTGGCAAAAGTCCCCACGCAGCACCCAAGCACGCGTCGATTGAAAGTCACACGCAAAACAGCCGTGCACTAGGTGCGCGCGGAGCTAAAGGGTATGCATGATGCTGGTGACTGGACGGTGCATTCACTGGCCCGAGCGCCTGACCGTGACGGCACATGCTGGCCGCCAACACAACGGCAGAACCTCTCGCGGGCTTATCCAACACGGCCACAGTGCTGCGGCGTTGGCAATCAATCCCGCATCGATCCAGATGGCCGTTGACCTGTCGACAAGGCGGGCTGTAGTACCGCAGCATTCCTCTCTGCTCCCATTGTCATGACCTGCCGCAGACTTGCTCTCTACTGACCGCTTCGCTGCATGCTCCCGGCAATCCCTGGACGGGTGCAGGCCGTTGTGCTATTTGCTCGCCCATGTCTTTGGTCAGCTTGGGCAACACGAGACGAACCACGGGCGGCGCAATCCCAGACAACCTCCAGAGCTGCGAGCACGTAAACACTATTCTGCAAAACAGCGCTTGTATGTAATCAGCCCTTAGTGATCGCCAGCCCCTCCCCAAGGCCGGCTACGACAAAGCCAACGGACGACTAATCCCTTCGGACAATAACATCGAACGGCTGTGCAGCATCGCGAACGCGTGTTCACGCCATCATCAGCCGAGCACCGTCACCTCTACCCCCTCGACAAGACGGCCCAACGTTGCACGACTTGCCTCGTTATTGCGCGCGACAACAGACGAGCCCCTCGCCAGGACCTGCAGCGTCGCCGTGGATACACCACCTGGGGAGACGTGCAGATCGCTCCTGCCCGCCCAATCACACCCTCGTCGCATGCACCTCTGCTCCTTCCCCGTCTTGCCTGGATGCGGCCCAGGCCCGCTACGTCTGCAACTAAGCCCGTCTTGTCGGCGGTCATATAGACCGTACACACAGCGGAGCGAGCAGCTTGCTATGCCCGCTCCGTACACTTCCTATTCGACCTTCGTATGGTGAACCACTTCTAGACCTCGACGTTAGATGCATCCAAGCAAATACCTGGGTTTAAGTGCCGCATCACACCCTCACGACGCTAGCTCTGCGCTACTGATAATCGCCACCTGGGCCACGACGTGCATCAAGTCTGGAGTAATTGACTAGGTTTTGTTGACAAACAGCACTGCTGCTACATGCTACGGCACCTCCCAATGCACCGACGCCGAATAACGAACATGACACGATGAACCTGTCACGTGCTATTCCGAGCACCCGTGGACACGTGCTTCCAGCTCCACTGAGTGACATCAACCATGCGTCTAATCGAAGTACACTGCCTCGGGCTTGTGTACACAAATCTTCTCCGACGCGTCGCTCTTCAAAACCACCCTGGGGTCCTCTTTACTTGCCTTGACCTTCTTGCCATCGACCTGCTTTTCCTCATACAGAACCTCCACAACCTCGCCGTCAACATAGCCAGGGAGTGAATGCCATTGAACTTTCTGGCCCTTCTTCGGCACACGGGTTTTGTCGCCAGCAGCCCCAATAGGCTTATCGTGCTTGTTAGCTGTGCTCTTCTGTCTCTTGCTGGGAGCTTCTATATTTGCGCCGCGTCCTCGCTTTTGACCCGGATGATCGTCCTGCGGGGGACTCCTGGATTTTCGGCTGCTTTCCAAGAACTTCTGGTATGCTCGTTGATCCTCCTCCATGTGGTCTGGATCGTCCCATTGTGTGGTGCAGTCCGTCTTGCTCTTCTTCTCGATCTTGGTGAAGCCATTCTTCTCACCTTCTTTGGTAGCGTCTTTCTTCGCTTGTGCAGCTTTGGAGGTGTTGGCGACATGTTGCTTGCCCTCTTTGCCTCCCTCCTGTTTCTTGGCGTCCGTCTCCTCCTTCTCCTTCTCGCTCATCTCCTCCCATGCCTTCTTCGGCAAGTAGCGGTGTTCCAAGCCGTTTTTGTCTTTTGCGCTTCCGCTGCCCTCTTTTGTCTGCCACTCTTCTTCTGTCCACTCATCAAGGTGCTTCGCACTCTCGTCCTTCTTATCTGTAGTATACCCTCCGCCGCGTTTCTTGTACTCGGATGCCATCATCTGTGCCTGCAATTGACTGTGTCAGTGGTGCAAAGAACACTCGCACTAGTCAAGCCTACCTTTCTGGCTGACCATTGGCCGGGCTCGCCGCCCTTGTCACCTGCCTGGATCTCCTCCTTGACCTCATCACGCAGCTGCGGGTCTGTGTATTTGTTGTCGGTCTTGGAAGGCATTGCAGATGAGACTGAGAGAAGAGCAAATCGAACAGGAGTTGTGGTCACACGAGGTGCGCGATTTGCAGCAACAAGCAAAAATGGTCGGGGGAGAAGCGTGCGATACATTCCAGAAGAGCAAGCGTCCAGCAAACAATCTTTGTACTACCCCAGATTCCCTCCACTGACGTACAGGTACCTGCGCAAGCTCCAATCCTCTCATCTTAAGCAGCCAGCCACCCCGAATCACCTACATCATGAAGTCTTCGCGATTCCGTATGGCGGTCAGAGCCCCTTGAAATCTGGTAAAGCACGTCTCGTTCCTTTCAAAAGCGCGCTGGGATGACATCAATGACCTCTCGATAGACCGATTCGGGTTGGTGTGGGCGCTCGGACCTGATCGTGCGCTGAGATCGAGGAGAAGCCGTCTAGCGTGCGTCCGCCAGATCACCTACTTCTATGCAGTCTGGACTACCAACGAACGTGCGACCCAAGGTTTGTGCGCAGACAGGTGCTTTTCCCAGCCACCCTTCTCATTTTCCTTGCTTTGATGGTAGTTTGCTCGTGCGTCAGCCGTCGGATGCAAAAAGCTCCTCGGGCCATGTCTGCCCCAAGCCGACATGGGCCGGTCCGTAAGTAGCGTGCCACCACTGTGTGCTATGGCATAAGTGCGGCCACCGCCCGGCAGATGTTGCATATTCTCTTGTATTTGCTTGTGCGATTGACTCGCGACTTTCTGTCAATAGCCCTTCTCGTAGCGATGTCGCATGAACAAACCGATCCAATTTGCGCGGATTTCGCGGAGCATTATCCTGAGAATGCATGTTTTCTCTCGCGTAGACCCTATGTTCTCTTTATATGTGATTTAATCTCTTTATCATCTCACGCGAGAATCGTACATATTACCGCTCATCAGAGCCGTGAGAGATGTCAGCCAGGCTCTACACGATGAGAAATATCTCTTGTGATCTTGCAGAGTTGTTGTTGCGCATGGCCATGTTTTGGACTTTCGTCTTTGCCAGTGTCGTTGTGTTGGAAGAACTCCTTTCGTTCCGAGTAGCCGACGTCTTATACGTGAGCGACGGGTGCCAAACGAGTCAAGTCCCTTTTCATTTTGCTACTTTTCCGATTGGTCCACATGTGACGATGCAATGGATGTGGGTTCTGGCTAATGTACGACTTAGTAGAAATACGGTACACACTACCTTAGCAGAACTTATAGGTACCCCTCCATCATGACATTCTGGGCGCGCATTGACCGAAGCCATAAGTGTGTATGAGCATCGACTCTCGTTTCCTCCATCGGGTTCATGTGTATATGATGGTGAGGCTAAGCCACCGATGAAGTCACAGCGACGCCTCCCTCGCACGCGGCGTACGATAGCTTCGCCATACCTATTGAAATTCCCATATGCTACACTCGATGAGGGCTTCCGGTCGATTCCTAGGGCACACCAACACGTACCGGCGTCCTCTCGGCCATGAGGTAGGAGTATCTAGGCCCGAGAAGAAGCGCCTGACCTACCTCAACAGGTATCTACGGAAAAGGTCTGGCAAATGCTGGACACTGCTACATTTTCTGGATGACGCAACGCAACCATTGCGACATAATGGGGGTCCGCGATGTTATATAAAGCCACGGTCATGATATGCCAGTAACCAGAGTATACTCAAGCTATTCCGGGCTCTCCAACCTCCAAATTCTACAATGCGTCTCACTCCATTCATCTTCGTGGCATCAGCCACAGCCCTTCCCGCCATTTTCCGCTCCCGAGCACTCTTACCCGAGATATCCCTTCCAATCGACTACTCTTTTGGCGTCCGGATACCAACATCTTCCAACCCATCATCATCCAACCCTCTAGCACTCCTCGTGAACGGCTACACAGTCAAAATCCCACTCATTGCCAGTTCAGGTAGTCTCGTCTCATGGATAGCCAACTATGCAGACGGCAAGCCATACAACACACAGTTCACTTCCATCAACCCCTCAGCACCTAGGAACATCACCACAGACTCAGATTCTACCTCGCAACAAGGTGGCAACAGCGTCTCAAATGCAACAGCGTTAGCAGATGGACGACAAGCTCGCGTGATCACAACATCTTTCTCCTCAGGCAACGCCGCGTCTGCCGCTGCCGCTGCCCTCGACGGCACAGACTCGGATTCCACATCCTCATCCGGTGCCTCAAACAGCACAGCAGTCGCTACAACCAATGCCTTGGGTGAAGTTCTCATCTTCACCTCCGCCAACACTGCCAACGCCCTAAACTCGCAATCTATCAAGAATGCCAAAGGCGCCGAGGCAGCCTCGTCCTGCGCCGCCGACTCCGGGCCTGCTGCGTCCGCACAAGCAGAGCAGGTCAACAGTCTCTACATTCCCGTCGACACTTCTCCAGACGGCAAGGAAACACAATGGGTGAAGAGTTCTGCGTATGCGGCGTGTGCGGCGGGTGTGGATGCGCCGAATCAGGGAGGTGGTTCGAGCTCGGGAAGCCAGTCTACTCTGACGGGCGTGAAGAGCAGTGTTACTTGTAATGGGGCGACGAGTACTGATCAGACAAAGAGTACGACATACAAGGTTAGTGTGAAGGGGCGGTATACATTGTTAAAGGGGTTTAATGGTGCGGTGGGTGGGCAGAGGGTTGCGGATAGTAAGAGTCAGTGTTAGATGTCGCATGGGTATTTGATGATCTGCAGACTTCATAAAGATCAGTCGGCAGTGGAGCTGTGTCGTCCTAATGCTTACACTTTGCGTCATTGAATATCATGTCTTGCAGCTTTACAACAGTATTAGCAACCACAATGGCACAAACATCGATATTTCCTTTCATCCGTCCATCTTTTTGTGAGCATTATCAAACACCGTATAAACCTCCGCAAGCTTCTAAACACCATTCCATTCTCGTTACTGCTTATCTCTAAATCTTGCTATCTGGGAAATCAAACCCGGTCTCATTGCACTTTCACCTTGGCGATTTCGTGCGCATCTTCACTTTCTCTCACTCTGCACTAACGCTGCTATTGTCAAATTGCACAGTGAACACTGTCCCCTAGATTAGACTAGCTTGACGCGCGCTCCACTGTGATCGAGACAATGGTAGAAGCTCAATTGCCTTTACGGTGTCAAAACTCTTGCTGCAGAAGACACTTACCTCTTCATCGACAAGCCCGTTTGGCACATCATACCAGCGACATGACTGGTTTACTCTCTTCATTGATCTTCACACCTCTGGCTAGCAAGACGCCACCCCTTGATGTCTCGGACTTGACATTATGCCTTCTCACCTCATATCCGCGTCCAAAGACACCTTGGAGCGACCTATACTATTAGATATATGGCCAACGTCGTGCTCAGCGAGCCACGAAAGCCTGACTGCTGAGCCCTGCGAAACGCTTGAAGTCGAGCAGGGGGATGCAGGAGATCAAGGTCCAGCGGTCAATGTGGTAGCTAGCAGACCACCACAGGTAGGGGCCGATAAGATGGCCCAGCGTCATGAGAAGACGTCTACGGCATACAAAATATTTTGAGCAAGAAGCGACAATGGGATGATCGCATGGCGGTCTTGCTGGGTGAAAAGATGCTGGCAAATGGTATCAATTAACATCTAGGGGCTATAGAGGTGGGAAATCTACCGGAAGATGAATACACGATGGGGAAAGGGACCAAGTGGAGATGAGTGGGTAATGGATCATGGGGCAGGGAGCATGGGCCGCAATCGCCAAGATGCGGGGAGAGCTCCTCCCCAACATGGCCAAAGCCATGCAAGGTACCACAGCTGTTGTAGCGTGCTGTTGACGTTGTCGACATTTCCACACCGCCTCGACCGAGTTCCAATCCCCATCTCCAGCCTCATCCATAATGGGAGGAGAATCGCACCGCAACATGCCCGTACCGGTGGCCAAAGACTACCCACAGCTGGCGGCTGGTCCCGTTGGCAAGCAGATCCACAGCATCTACCAGGGCCGACTTAGGCAGTTCCTCGATGCAGGACAGTACAAGGAACAGAGTCTCATTGGGTAAGCTTTGAGCTGCACACATTTTACAGCTTCGCCTTCATTCTCAGCTCCGACATGCTAATACGTCACGTAGCAAGCTCACTGAAGCTGTCGCGTCCGGCACCGACTGGGTAAAACTCTTTGTCTACTCACCCCCAAATCTATCGCGCCCGCTCTTCAAGGAAGCCACCTCACATGCGTTCCACCCCACCAAAGTCGGCGAGTCATTCGGTCCCAGTTGGTCGACGCATTGGTTCAAGGTCCAGCTTACGGTGCCCAAGCACATGCTAGATAAGGAACATCTCGAGTTCGTCTGGGATGCAAACAACGAAGGCTTGATTTGGACCGAAGATGGACACACTGTCCACGGACTGACGGGAGGTGGCGAACGCACACAATGGATCCTGCCCAAGGAGTTTAGAGATGGCAAAGAACATACCTTCTTCATCGAGATGGCGTGCAACGGCATGTTCGGCAATGCGCCCGGCGGCGACTCGATACAGCCACCTGCGCCCGATAAATACTACACCTTGCACACTGCTGAAGTACAAGCGGTCAACCTGGAGGCGAGAGGGCTATACTTTGACTTCTGGGAGATTGGAGATGCCGCTCGTGAGTTCCCTGGGGACTCGACACAGGCTCATGACGCCCAGCAGATCGGTAACCGCATCATTGACACTTTCATTGCCGGCAATGGAAGCCAAGAGAGCATCAAAGCAGCTCGCAAGATCGCTGCCGAATACGTTGGCAAAGACGTAGACTCGCACAAAGTATACGAAACCGACCAGGAGGCTATCGTGCATGGTATCGGCTACTGCCACATCGACACCTGTTGGCTATGGCCGTTTGACGAGACCAAGCGAAAGGTCAATCGATCCTGGTCGAACCAGTGCGACCTCATCGAGCGATACCCCGAGCTTCGCTTCTGCTGCTCGCAAGCGCAGCAATACAAGTGGCTCGAGCAGTACTACCCTTCCACATTCGATCGCGTTAAGAAAAAGGTCAAGGAAGGTAGCTTCCAGCCTATCGGTGGTAGTTGGGTTGAGCATGACACCAACCTTCCCGGCGGAGAGTCGCTCATCAGGCAGTTCTTGTACGGCCAGCGCTACTTTGAGAGCAAGTTTGGCCAGCGGTGTCGCACCTTCTGGCTACCGGATACTTTTGGATACTCTACGCAATTACCGCAAATTTGTCGCATTTCGGGTATGACCAGGTTCCTCACTCAAAAGCTGAGCTGGAACAACATCAATAACTTCCCGCATACGACATTCAACTGGGTTGCATTGGACAATAGTCAAGTCATCTGTCATATGCCGCCGTCGGAGACGTATACGTGCGAAGCGAACTTTGGTGACGTCAAGCGCAGCGTTACGCAACACAAGTCGCTTGACCAAGACAAGTCTTCGCTGATTGTCTTCGGCAAAGGAGACGGAGGTGGTGGCCCGACATGGCAGCACCTTGAGAAGCTCAGGCGATGCCGCGGTATCAGCGACACTGCTGGTCTGTTGCCTCGCGTCAAATTAGGCGACTCAGCAGATGACTTCTTCGACCGACTGGAGAAGAAGGTCGAGAATGGCACTGAGCTTGTGACTTGGTATGGCGAGCTGTACTTCGAGCTCCACCGGGGTACATACACTACGCAGTCGAACAACAAGCGCAATAACAGGAAGTCTGAGATCATGCTCAGAGACATTGAGTATCTTGCGACTCTGGCGACAATCAAGAACGGCTTCGGCAAGAAGAGTTCGTACAAGTACCCGAAGAAGGACATTGATGGCATGTGGGAGAATGTGCTCTTGTGTCAATTCCACGACTGTCTACCCGGAAGTTCCATCGAGATGTGCTATGACGACTCCGATCGGGTAGGTCTATGATCCCATGACGAAAAGTCCATTGCTAATTTTACTAGATTTACGCCGAAGTGTTCGCTACTGGCGAGAGGCTACTTTCCGATGCTCTTGCCGAACTTGGCTTCAATGATGAGAGTTGCTGGGATCAAGACACAAAGCTATTCGCTATGAATACCTTGCCATGGAGCCGTACCGAGATCATCAAGTTGCCGAGTGCGGCAAGTCGGACGAGATATGGGCCTTCGGAGGCTCAGTACGGTCTCGCTCATCGTAACGGATCTCAGAAAGGGTTGGGTGCTTTAGACGTCTTCCCACTACACTCTGCATACCCTGCTGAGAAAGCGACTATTGAAGAGATCCAAACCAATGTTTACGAACTCCGCAACTCACAATTCGTTGTACAAGTCTCCAATGGTGCCATCACCTCGCTCTTCGATATCGCCGCCGATCGCGAACTGATCCCGAAGGATGCCAAAGCCGGTCAGCTTGTAATATACGACGACAAGCCACTCTATTGGCAAGCCTGGGATGTTGAAGTCTACCACCTTCAGTCCCGGCAGGAACTCGAGCCCAGCAAGGTCACCATCGCGGAGAACAGCGTTCATCGTGTGAGCCTGGTGATTGAGACGAAAGTCTCAGACAAGTCCTGGGTCAAGACGACGATGAGTCTGCCTGCAGCCGTAGGGAACACACCCAGTGCTATCGAATTTGACGCAGAGATTGAATGGCACGAGACAATGAGGTTCCTCAAGGTGGAATTCCCAGTCGACATTGTGAACACAGAAGCCAGCTACGAGACGCAGTTCGGCATCGTGCGCCGACCTACGCACTACAACACTACATGGGACATGGCAAAATTCGAAGTCTGTTGCCACAAGTGGGCCGATCTTTCCGAGGCTACATACGGTGTCTCAATTCTGAACGACAGCAAGTACGGTTTCGCTGTCGCCGGAAACGTTATGCGACTCTCCCTTCTCCGCTCGCCCAAGGCCCCAGATGCCCACGCCGACATGGGCAGCCACAAAACTCGCTACGCCATCTTCCCTCACAAGGGCGGTCTGGACGAACGCACAGTCCGCAAGGCCTTTGAGTTCAACAACCCTCTCAAGATTGTTGGTCGTCAGGGCTTGCACCCTTCGCCATCCTCTCTGCACAGTGGCCTTCTTAATCCCTTCCACATCTACGGCGCTCCCAACCTCGTACTAGACACCATCAAGCGCGGTGAAGACGACGAGGATGTCAGCCGTGGTGAATTGCCAATCAAGAAGGGTCATTCGATTATTCTACGTATCTACGACAGTCTGGGTGGAAAGAGCAAGGGCGTACTTACCTGGGGTGATGTCGATGTGAAGAAGGTGATCAAGGTCAATGCGCTGGAGGACGAAGAGGGTGAGCCGCTGGACATAAGCGACATGAAGGTAGGAGCGGAAGAAGTGAAGGAGAAGGGTGTGCCAATCGAGATTCGCGCGTTCGAAGTAGCGAGTTACAAGCTCTTGTTGGCGTAGGTATGGTGTAGGGGTGGCAATTGATGGGTAATGAGCAATGAAAGGTTGTGATATGACATTGGCGGTCCTTCAATCACTGGGAATCATCATTATTCGAGTGCTGTCAGGGTGTCGGGTATACATAGTCAGGCATCAGGCATAAGCAATACTACGTGTCGTAACCAGTACGGTCAACCCTTTATTCGAAATCAAGGTGGAAATGGTGTCATTGTCTCCAAAACGCCTATAATGCCGTATCCCATGCTCTATATCTCGGCGATGCCATCAAGCTACCCTGGCCCTGGAGTGGGCTTAGTTGCACTCGAGAGCAGGCATTCCACTCGCCTTGCCGAAGAACAGACTTAGTGGATGCGATCCAACTTGAGCCTGTTCCTGGCAATCTTGTCATCCACCTGATCAGTCTTGCCAGTAATGCGTGTAATGTGCGTGTTTTGGTTGTCGACCTCTTCGCCCATAGCGCGACCGAGTTGGTTGAGGTTCTTGGCCATGCCATGAAGTTGGTCTGTTAAAAAAGAATCTGTTAGAATGCACGCATCAATGGAATAGGCGTAGAGTACGTACCCAAGTTGTTATCGATCTCGTTCTCCATCTCGTCATCCTCCTCATCAGCCTCGAACTGGAACTTGGAACGCGCGGCCAGCGAGCTCTTGTTGTTACCTTGTGGAGCCCCGCCTGTGGCTAGCTTACGCTGAGCTTCGTTTGCACGGGCTCCAGACTCCCACTTGGCCCGATTAGTTTGTTCGCGGGTATCACGGTCGCGTGCGTGCTGGTCCATGGCTTGTTGCATTTGCTTCTCGCGCTTCGAGTTGCCTGTGAAGGGATTGGGGACGATGGAGAACATGCTTGCGTTGATGCCTGGAGACGGGTCAGTCCTGAATGATACGTCTCGAGGGGTTCGTCCTTACGGGCCAGTTCCTTAGTCTGTCCATTTGCTCTGTCGCTCTGGATGGAGGCAAGATCGAGGTTGCGTTCCGTGCTAGAAACGAGTTAGCTGTGTATCAACATATCCACATCTGTCCAACGTACTTATGAATACGCTCTCCCTGTGCTGCTAGTGTCCCTAGAGTTCCTCGACCGGTTTCCAAAGCCTGTTCAGCTAGACGGAGAGCGTTTCTGGTGCTAGCAACATCCTGCTGCTTCATAAACTTGATCTCTTGCTTTGTAGCGTCAATGTCTTCCTCTTCTTGTTCTTCAGCCGTCAATTGGCGGTCCTCGTAGGCCCCGTAGCCACCAGGTGCCGAGCCATAGCCACCGGGAGCACCAGCTCCGTATGCGCCACTCTGAGTGTTCCCGTAGGTGCCACTTTGTCCGAGGGCGCTGGGCTGCTGAGGCGGCTGCGCTTGTTGGCGCTGGGGAGCGTTGCCAAACAGCTCGTTGCGACCTGCGTCGGTACTCATAGTGTCGTTGGACGCAGTCCTTCCCAGGCCTCCGTAGCCGCCAGGCCGCTGTGGTGGGCCTCCGCCATAGCGATCGGCTCCATAACCTGACTGTGCGCCGTAGCTGCCGCCTTGAGCACCGTATCCGCCTGGTCGCTGTCCGTAGCTCTGACCCGGGCCGGTGACAGCCGGCGTCTTCTCTTGGCGGAACGAGTTGTCCTGGCCGTCGTTCGAGTACGAGGGGGGTGGCTGCGCATATGGGTCCTTGCCTACAGGCGCGGCATACGGGTTTTGGGCGGCTGGGCTTTCCTTTCCGCCCTTGTCCTTCTTCTTGGAGAACAGACCCATGATTCAAGTGTTGAAGTTTCGGTGTGTCGAAAAGGACGAGGAGATGAGTCGCGTCTTGTAGGCGTCGACGTCAGGGGTGGGTGCGGTGAAGGCTGACAGGTCGGGGAGCACCAAGGGAATTGTGGGGTGCGTTATCGATTGAGCGAGCCAAGCTTCAGGGTCCTCGCGGTGGGAACTCGAAAAGTGATTGAAGGAAGGCACGAGATGAAGAGGCAATGCAGTAGTATATGATTGTCGCAGGTCCAGGAAATCGTGTTTGAGCAATGAATGTTTTGCTGCGTCTGGCGTTTCAATCATCTCAAGCGCCCAATGCCGCTAGCGAAGGCGGAGCACTGGGGTGGGTACGCCACCGCTTGTGGCTGAGGGCCGCTTGCAAGGAGCAGCTCGGAATAGCTACAAGAGTCGGTCTCCTTGCAGGCTCGAGTGAAAGCATCAAAGATTCAGCATCTTGTTTCGAGGATGCGTCCTGAGCAGCGAATTCCAAACTTGAGTGCGAAGACTGGTAGGGCTGTCGCATGGTTGGGCCCACATCATTTGGTCCCTGCATCCGCACTTAGACAGCGCACCTCAATTGCATGTGGCACCGTAAAGGTCCATCCATACGCAATTATCATGCATACCAATACCACCCGGGTATCCTATCTCTACCAGCTACAGCATGGGCAATGCTATGTCGTCCAGATCGCGCTATCCTCCTCATGTGTGACCTCCCCGTCCGAAGAGGGTAGATCCTCGTGCTCCTCTTTCGTCCAGATTTCGTTTCCCGTTACCACCGGGAACGATGTTAGGACGCGGCTAATGTCTCCCCACCATACTTCGCCAAACCTCCGATACCAATCCACTGTAACCTTCAGACCCTCATCAAAGCTCGTCTTGGGTTCCCAACCCAGCGCGCTCAGCTTGGTCCCGTCCGTCGCATAGCGCTGGTCGTTGAACGGCCGGTCTTCAGTGTGCTCTACCCACTTCGAGAGCTCGGCAGGAGAGTCGAGACAAATTCCGAAGACATCTAGCAGCTTGCGACATATGTCCGAGTTCGATATTTCGTCTTTCGAGGCTATGTTGTAGATCTGACCGATGGAACCCTTGTGCAGTATCGTGTCTAGCGCATCTACAATATCCCCTGCGTATAGGTATCGTCGGGTAGGTGAGCCGTCGCCGTGAAGGAGGAGCTTCTGTTTACGTTGTAGAAGCATGATGAACTTTGGGATAATTTCTGCACAAGTCAGTCATGTACGTCCATCTTAGGGCCTTAGGGTTACCTACTCTCAGGGAACTGATGCGGCCCATATACATTGTTTGCTCGAACAGTGATCAGCGGCAGCTTGAAACTACTCCTGTATGCGCTGACCATCATCTCTGCTGCTGCCTTGCTCGCCGAGTAAGGATTTGTAGGTGCCAGTATGCTCGTCTCGCCCAGGTCTGCTGCCCCGACAGGTACATCGCCGTATACCTCATCTGTCGAGATATGTATGAACCTATTGATACCATGTTCCCTCGCTCTTTCAAGCAGAACATGGGTGCCATATACGTTGGTGTTGGTGAACTCGTATGAATTACCAAAGCTGAGGTCGACGTGCGATTGCGCCGCGAAGTGGAAGAGCGTGTCGATTTGGTGTTTTCGCAAAACGCGCTTGACGTCCGCCGGTGACGTGATGTCACCTTGTTCAAAGGTGAAATTGGGTCGATCATCGAGGATTCGCGTGTTGTTCAGCGCAGCGCAATAGTCTAGCTTGTCGAATGATACCACATTGTAGTGTGGGTATGTAAGTACTAGATGCCGTACAAACCAGCAAGCTCTACTCGTTGGTCAGTCGCGATGTATCAAAAGAAAAGATCAAGAGACGCACAGCCCACAACTTCCCGTGCTCTCGTCGCAACGTACATGAAGCCAGCTCCACCCGTGATTAAGATGTTCTTCGCGTTAGGGAGAGGCTCGAAGTTAGTGTTGCCAATAAGTATCGGTGCCTGCTTCCATAGCTCCTGATTGACATGCGATCTCGCATTGAGAACGGTCGACCTTCGCCTGCCTGTTACTGTTAGGGTCGGGGTTGGACTGTGCCTTGCATTGCATCGTGCAGGTGCCCAGGTGGAGACTCACGCTTTACGCCATTGGTGCCATTGGGCACATAGTGGGCGCTGTCAGAGCCTTGAGTGGAACCCATGGTAGTGGTAGCTCTTGTCATCATCTACCAAGAATTATCCAACGCTTGCGTGACATGCCCGAGCATTCTTTGAACAATATCTTGTACTGTCACGTATGCGCGCCGCTGGCCGCGCGTGTTGCGACGAGCGCGATTCGGCACTAGCCCGACACAGAGATGTATCCGTCATTGCACGTTACGTCATCAGAAACCGGCAAAACTGCTGAACCACCTGGGCGAAGGAAGCCTGTGCAACACCACACTCTTCCTCTGAGACAGATGGTTCCCGGGTTTTGGCGAGTATCACGCGTCGAAGCTCCATTGAGTAAATACTGATCACTCAGTCTCGATGGGCGCCATTCCTAACCGCACCAAAAGCGGCGCGAGATACAATCATACAGAAACATGACCCAAGCGTGCACGCTCTACTTCGTTGAGCCCGAGCACCCTGTCCAGGAAACTTACCAGATTCCGACTCGCATGTCTTATGTCCAACAGAATCTAGACCAGAAGACATGATAGCAAGGGCGTTACACGCACCCCGCCTCTCTCCCCAGCCCTTCAACATTTGTCTGCGCGTCTCGCAGTCCCTGCAGCGAATTCGATTTGTCGGCAACATACGTACATCGCGGATTGGGCGTCTCTTTATTTCCGGCCCTTCCGGCGGATCACCAAAGCGGGCTGCCCCACCAGGGTAATGTGGGGATGATACCCCAATCGTTGTCTTCGAAATTGGAGCAACGGGCATAATCACGTGAAAGGAGCCAGTATAAGCATCTCACCTAAGATTTGTGACCAGTTCTGCCACCAAACTCTCTACGCGCACCAGTCTTCCGGTTTGCTCTTGCGATCATCGGTTCTCAGTGATTGCGAGCATGTGGGCTACTTATCTTCTTCTGCTGGGCATCATCGCTCTTGTATTCGATTACAGTCGCATGCTGTACCTAAGATGGCAAATGGTATGCGTTGCCTATCTGCTATTTTCTTCACTGGTTCACCACTGATACGCCAATAGCCCCCAGGACCATTGCCTTGGCCCATCGTTGGAAATACGTTTAGTTTACCGGAAGAAAAGCCTTGGTATCTTATGGAACGACTGTCGAAGCGCTACAGTTCTCCGCTCATCACGTTCTGGATCGGGCGGTTAGTTCACACCAGATCTACCGTTATGGAAAGTGGATAACACAGTACAGGAGACCAACAATCTGGATCAACGACGCATGGGCTGCAGATGATCTACTCGTCAAGCGGGCGAACATCTACAACTCTAGGCCACGCATGCTGATGTTTGCTGAGCTGATGTCCGGCCAAATGAACCTGCTGCATAAATACACATACACGAAGGAGCAGCGTGAACGGTTTCGCGACCTCAGGAGAGTTACCCATCAGGGTATTGGGATACAGCAGGTCAGCTCAACGCACCAACATACCCCACCCTTGCTAACATTCCCAGATCAAACGTCATCGGAGCCTTCAGGACGATGAGAACAAGATAGTTGTGTATGACTTGCTCGAGACACCCGACAAATTCGTGGCTCACTTCGAGCGATACGCTACGAGCGTTGTGTCGATTATCGGTTTCGGACGTCGGATAGGAGACATTCAAGATCCGTTAATCACTGAAGTAATTGCGCAGATGCAGACCTCTGCTAAGATGGCGGTCGTCGCCAAGGACTTCCCGCGACTGATGGAGACCTTCCCATGTAAGACTCATGGCCACGTGTTTATACCGATGCTAACGAAGACAGGGCTAGCAAAGTTTCCCAATTGTATAGCTCCTTGGAAGCGCGATACTCGACGTTCTGCGAAGCCCAAATATGGCCGCAATGATTTCTTCTATGCCTTAGCCGAAGAAGCCAAACAATGTCCGGAAGAGAACTACTCCAAGTACCTGTTCCGCGAAGCACCTCACCTCAACCTTCATCCTCTCGAGATCTCCAATCTCGCCGCTAACCTACTCGGTGCTGGAGCGGACACATCAAGTAGCACTCTACAAACAGCTGTTCTGGCCATGCGCGCATTCCCCCAGACCCTTGAACCCGCCTGGGAAGAGCTCGACCGTGTCGTAGGCCGATCACGAAGTCCGACGCTCGATGATGATCTTCCATATCTCCGCGCTTTCGTCAAAGAAGTCTTCCGCTGGCGCTCGGTCGCAGTAATAGGAGGTACTGCTCATGCACCCACCCAAGATGACTATTACAACGGCTACTATATAGCGAAGGGTACCTGGGTGCAGGGCAACGTCTGGGCGATACATCATAACGAGCGCGAATTCCCCGATCCCGATCGCTTCAATCCTAGAAGGTTCCTCGATACGGATGATAAGAGACCGTTTCCTGGGGAAAAGGGATACATGACTTTCGGGTGGGGTAGAAGAAGTTGTGCTGGTCAAGCATTGGCAGAGCAAGGTACACATCTCAGTATCGCACGGTTGGTTTGGGCATACAAAGTGGAGCCAGAGTTGGATCCAAAGACAGGAGAGGAAGTGCCTGTTGACATCTTCAAGTTCACGTAAGTCATGTTCCCAGACATCAGGGTTATGAAGCTTCATGGGTATTGACGTTTAGCAGGAGCGGATCGAACTGGCGACCCCAGCCATTCAAAGTCAGGTTCACGCCAAGACACGAAGAGATCACGCAGACCATCATCCGAGAGGGGCAGCAAGCGAGGCAAGATCTGGCTAAATATGACCGCGAAACCAAGTACACGTTTAGCACATTCTACGAGTAGCCATTGGCTGAGAGGCAATGTCATCCATGGATGGTATGTACGCCCCAACTCACAAGCTCGATCAATACTCGAAATGGCAAGGTGCCGGGCATTTCCATACAGCTTTGCATAACACCCCTGCCAGTGCGGAGAAGACATGGGCTTCTCCTCATTGCCCCACGAAACTAACCTCGCATGACTCGCGCATGCCGGTGTATAAGGCTGCGATTTCTTCTCTTTGCAGATGAATGCCGGTTAGTCACTGTGTGAGCCACAATGGCAAAACTCCAAGAGACAACCCTGTGGGCAAATCGCAAATGCTTACTAATATGCTCCGCCGTCGCTATCGCCAGTATGCAGTACGGTATTGATACTGCTGCGGTGGGCGGTCTGCAGGCTATGCCTGGATTTTTGATGGTATTTGGGTACGAAGACCCGGCGAGCCCGCTTGGCTATGGCATTGATGCAAGTTCGTATAGTCTAGTTCTTTGTCATGGCTACTGACGCGCAACAGTCGACAGTACAGCAACTTATGACGTCTTTGCTCAATCTAGGATCATGTGTATCTGCCATCGCTGCTGGTGTTTTCGGCGCCTACTTCGGTCGTAGGAAAGCCTTGTGGCTCGCATGCATCATATGTTTGGCTGCAGTGTCGCTACAGATTGGCTCGACCTCTAAAGCGGGCCTTTACGTAGGACGCCTGTTCTTGGGTTTCTCCAACGGCTTCTTTGTCGTATTCTCAACGGTGTACTGCAGTGAAGCAGCACCGGCGCATCTTCGGGAGTGAGTTTCCTTGTCCTCTACCTAGACACTGGATGCACTAACGGCTAGCAGAATCATGGTCGGGCTCTTCTCTTTCTACGTGAACCTTGGAAGCATCATCGGTTCCATCATAGACAACTACACTTCACGCTACCTGTCGAAACTCTCCTACCAAGTTCCTCTCGCATGTATGTTCATCGTTCCAGTCATGCTCGGCACAGCACTCTTCTTCGTCCCGGAGAGTCCGCGATGGCTTTTACACCGTGACCAGCATGATTTGGCGCGCAAGTCTCTAGAGCGCCTTCGATTCGACCACGGCGAAGAACTGGAGTTGGAGTGGGCGGAAATGATCCGTGGTGTAGAAGAAGAGCGCAGGTTGAGTCAAAGCTCAGGCTTTCTCGACCTCTTCCGCGGCAACGACTTGAGGCGCACACTGCTCTGTTGGGGCACAATCGCGAGCCAGTCGGCGAGTGGCTCTTGGTTCTTCATCGGATATCAAACCTACTTCTTCGCCATCGCCGGGATCACGAAAGCCTTTGAGTACAGTATTATGAACTCGTGCATTGGCTTCGTGGGCGTTCACCTTGGCCTTTACTCCATGAACAAACTGTTTGGTAGAAGGACGATCATGATCGCTGGAGCGATAGCGTGCGGTCTATGTGAGCTGGCTTGTGGAATCGCAAGTAGCGTAAAGCCCAATTCAGTGGAGACTGGAAATGTTTTAGTGGCTTTCACGGCATTGTTCCTGTTTTGTTACAATGCCGGAGTGGGCGTTGCGACAAGCCCTCTAGCGACAGAGCTTGTTAGTTCAAGGCTTCGAGCTTGGACGGTGGGAAGCGCGAATGCTCTTGGATATTTCCTCGCTTGGCTGATCGGCTTCTGCTCGCCATACTTCATCAATCCCCAGGATCTCAATTGGGTACGTGGATGTGCTTGTTTGTGCATACAATGCTGACACAGTCATAGGGCCCGCAGTATACCTACATATGGGCTGCTTCAAACTTTCTGTGTGTGATATGGTTCTTCTTCTTCCTGCCGGAGACGAAAGCGCGATCATTAGAGGAGCTGGACGAGATTTTTGAAGCGAGAGTTGCGGCACGAAAGTTCAGACTGTATGAGTGCAGAATTGTGGAGGATGCGAAGCATGACGTGTATGGGAAGGAAAGCGTTGAGACAACAAAGCAAGCTGCTTGACAGATCGTATATATGCCCTCAGTAGGTGTACTGGTACTGCTTCTATTACAACCCGTTCAGCATGTGTATTTTTCTATGCTGCATACTCTACGCTCCTCTGCTCCTTCGCGGCCTGCAATGAAGCTTCGCACTTACATGTATTCCTGCTCATCCTCGTAAGGTACTTTAAACCGAATCCTCAAAATCTCATCAGCAATCGCGGACGGCTCGTCTGGCGCAGGAAGTTCAAAAAACATTTTCCATCCCAGCGAAGGCAGGGTTAGTATTTGTTCATGAGTCCGATTGGAATGCCAATGCGATCCCTGGAATCAGTCTGAAATCCATTGCCACGATACAAGCGCTGTCCCGTAGCTTGTGGGGTCAGTTGTTGTATTGTAGGTTTTCTCTCCAACAGTAAAAGTGGAAGATGTAACACTGCGACGATCGTCGCTGTGGTTGAACTTTGGTACAGCCAGGCCGATAGCATCAGTGTAGCTCATTGGTGCCTTGCTTTGATCGGCAATGAATTGGATGAATCGAACAGAAAGCTTGCCAATGATTGACCGCTCCCAAGAGAGACCGCATTCGGGAGATGGGAGAACCATGGCTTCTTCCTCGCTAGCAAAAGCTTTGCGTGTTCGATCTCGTTAATCCGAGCACTCGAAGCCCGGAAACTTGTCGAGATAATGTGCCAGCTCATGGACTAGGAGGTCAGCGAGAAGAAATTGAGCTCCCAGGTTTTGTACAATAAGTGGAGGAGGAGGTTCGGAAGTACCTGGGGTCGAGGAGTCGGGACTCGGATCGAGCATCTTGTAAAAGAATGAGATCAACAGCACACAAGGGCTTGTCTGTTCCAAGCCTCCTTAACGGTAACGCCAATTCATACCCATCTCATCGTCGCACCAAGCCACCATACAAGAACGCGTCTTGGTATTCAGATCAACTTGAGGCCAGTCGGAGAGCTCCAAGATATCTTTATGGCTTTTGTTCTTAGTCGCATACGTCGTGTACGCCGTTCGAAGGTCTTTGAACGCGAAGGTTAATCCCATATCTATGTCTTTCGGTGTGCGGTCGGATGCTTGCATCTTCCAGGTCATGACCTAAGCTAAGTCTTCCAGTCTTTTCTTCCAGCTGTTCGTCAAGACGACTACGCTTTCGCTTTGAGAGTTCGAGGTTTAGATAAATCTTGGCGGGGTGTCTCCTACGAAGTTCTTGAAAGGTGACGTCGTGCTTCTCATTTGATGCCAGAAATACTGAAGAACTCGTTCGTCGCTCACGAATAAACTCGCAAGTTGCAGGGCAGGCTTCATGCTATCATACATGTTCTCAGTGACGTCGATGAACTGGTCGCGGGCGAAGATGTTCGTTGTTGAGAGTACTTGTACTCGAAGTAACATTGAAGAAGCCTAGTTCCTGTAGGTACTGAATCGCTTCTTTGCGCACATTATCGACGTGCCCTTTACAATCGTGCATGACTGATGAGATATGAATGGTCGCACTGCGTCTGCCTGGGCGCTATAAAAGTGATCTTCAGTGTGCGCTTGCTGTTAGCAAAGTGTGGCCTCATGCGATACTACCAGTCACAATGGATATGTAAATTAATTTGCAGCAATCAACGACTTATCTACCAACACCAAATGACGGAGAAATACGTTAGAATCGCTGTACATGCGCAAGACAGTGTGCGTGAATTGATTTCGCAGGGCTTGATAGTGTCTATGGAATATGGCTATTTGTATGTAGGTTAGTCCATATCTCCATCTTCGCTCAAATGTAGCCATCAACTAAGGCCAAGCCAAGAGGCTGAGCGTTGCAGCCACAGCTAAGACTGTCAGGCCCAGCATGTGCTCGGTCAAGTTGCTAGTGGCGGCGTCTTGTTCAATCAGCAAGTTGTAGTAGTGGGAACGTAGATAAGACTAATGCTTACCTTCGACACCAGGAGACTCCGTTGTTTCAGTTCCATCTTCCTCCGACTCAGTGGGGGAAGGAGACGCATCAGTAGAGTCAGGCGTCTCAGGAGAAGTAGATGTTGTCGATGCAGGCCCGGTGCTGGTCGATGACATCGTTGGAGTCGAACTTGCGGACAAGACTAGACAAGGCCCACCGAGGAAGGGATAGGGCGAGGGGGCCATGTCGTTTACACAGTCGAAGAAATCGTTTCCGTCGTCTGCCTCGCACCACTGAGTGCAATCATTCAGAATACGGACCTCGGCGTTACTGTTGCAGCAGGATGTGATGTTGACATCGCCTGGAGGAACGTTGACCTGGCATATCTGACCCGTGAGTCCCGTGACATTAAGACCATTAGGAGCGATACCTGGGAAACACGAGGTAGGTGTAGGCAGGGCTTCGCCCGATGTGACAGAACCGAGTGATGTAGCCATGATGTTGGTGAGAGATACAGTCGCTGCAATAAAGGTAGGAAAGTAGAATGAACAAAGTGAAATGGTGAACAGAGAGAGCACAATGCGTGGTATTGCTCAAGTATACCTAGCTAGGTAGGTAGGTAGCAGCGCTGCAGCAAACGCGACGTCATTTGTCTTACTGCAAGCCGTCCGACCCGGGACTTTTCTTGGTACATAGTACAGGTCATAACAGAAGAAAACAAATGTAACATCATCCTTTGTTGTCTCGGTTGCACCGTCCACACTGATGCAGGCCATGTGCGTGCCAAGAGCGGGGACGGTTAGCGCGGCACCATTCGGCGCCTTCAGGAACCCGTGCCCGTCACATCTTCACTTCCAGTTACCCGGGAACCTTGACGGCACATTACGCCCTGTTATAGAAACTCCTGAGAAGGTATTGGCACTGCCAATTCGAACAGTGGTAAGATCGTCGTGGCTTGCGCATCCAACGGAAAGCTGCAAAACTCTACCATCGCTACCAAAGTTCGAGGCGGACATTGCATTATCCACACGTGCGCTCTCCAGACGCATCGCCAGGGACTATCTGTTGTTGAGCTACGACTTCGTTTCTACTCGATCCTTATTGGGGAGACTCAATCAAGGGACAGCTCAACACCATCACTCTACGATATGTAGAGGACATTGCTGCTAGAGACTGGCAAATGCCAAGCGTGAGTGGCCAAGATTCAGACTGACTACACCAGCACATACAACAGTGGGCTTGTAAGCCACCCGAAGAACTGCCTAATATCTGGACGGTGTATGGATGACCCGCCTCAAGTTTTTCAACGGGTAACGGCTTCGCATAATCATCTCCAAGGACTGAACAGCAAAGATTGTCACCGGAAATGGCAGGAGGAGTGGGATATTTATGTCATTGTGCGTGTGGGTAACATACCAACAACAACGACTACGTCTTGGTACCAGTAGATGTGAACGGAGCTGTACTGCGCGACGCCTCAATGTAACAATGTCTCGGAGACTTCGATCATGGAGGGCTCGTAGGTATGTTGAATACGAGATGTGGTTGAAAGGTCGAAACCGATGGAGAAGGCGATGAAGGCCTGAGACGTATATAAGAAGCACCAAAGTTTCGATGGTAATGTATCGTGCACATCTATCATCTCGACCTACGCAACACCACAACAGACATTTCTTCCTAAAGATTCCCTTTCCCAACAACATGGCTCAGTTTCTAGCGGTCATGGCGGTACTCGGCGTTGTTTCCGGGATGCCTACAAGTCCAAGTCACCTCTCTGCCCGTCAGGATGACACATCCTTGTATATGTGCAGAGAAAACGGCTGCACCGATTGTCCATTATATTTCAGTGCTGGAGCCGTAAGCGAGATATTACAAACCAGATGCTCAGTAACTAACCAGATTCTAGGGTTGGCCAGAGTGCCCATACTATAGTGGTGAACAGCTCACCGACAATGGCTTCCCGCCCCAGGAAAACGGTCAGGTCCGAATTTACATCGATGTGCCTCCCCAGGAAGACAACTGCAGGACACTTATTCGCACTCCGGTCAGGCCAAACGATATCAACTGTGGCGGAAATATCATCATCGCAGAAGGTGCAACATGCGCTGCCATCAACATCGACAACACGTTCATAGCGTCTCGATGCTGTGGCCTCGAAGAGTGCACTGATGCCGGAGCACCAGGCAAGCGCGATATGAGCAGCCGCAATGCTGGTCCTTCTGGCATCCTCATGCTCCATGATGTTGACGGTAACGTCATCGAGCCAAAGACTGCTGCCCTTTTGCAGCACATGGATGAAGAACCACCTGCGAATGTCCAAGTCCGCAACGCTGAAGCCGGTAAGCTGCTCACGAAACGCGATTGTGATGGCTTCCAAGCTACGAGAGGGCCATTCCAGAGCGGCGGTACAAACTACGTGATCTCCGACGTAGTCACTTGCACCCCGACCGAATCATGCCAGGCTACTCTCGGGGAGGAGGTCACGGAGGAGACGACCTTCAGCACGGAGGTCTCCGTCAGCGACCCATTGGGTATTGTTTCCGCCAGTGTTGGCTTCGAGTTTTCCCAATCCGTAACCCAGAGCTTCTCGGGCACGTTCACATTCGGGCCGGGCGAGAGAGGCTACGTCGTCTTCATCCCATGGATTACGTAAGTTCTGCTGGCCCTTGAAGTGTATAAACTCTGCTGATCTGACTGCACAGATGTGTCGAGGGCTACTTTACTGGTGACTGCGGTGATGAGGGTGTACAAACCACCATCTGTGGTGGTGAGAGCTCTGGTGGCGCCATTAAGGGAGAACGGCGTCCTGTCATCATCCGTGGTTGAATATTTCGGTGGGTAGGCGCTGGAAGATTGGTGGATGTCAAGGACACTCGTTTGAAAGCCGTTTTGAGTTCTGGATGGATGGATGAATGGATGAATCAAGAGAACATGACGTACGCTCAGCGTCTTTGCTCCGTCTGCTAGCTGATAGCCAAGATACTGGTGCAAGGTGAAATCGCCTAGTCCAATCCAATATTGTAGCTCAAGTATCTCATTGCCGATACTATGGCGTACTCCCGTAGCTGTGAATTTGGGGTAATGAAAGTGTGCGAGCTTACAATTGAGCCTGTTGCCACATCGTCGCTTGTGGAGTGGGTCTGGACACAAAGCTAGCAAGCTTCATACTTAATCCGTCTTCCATACCGAGGTGTTGCCGAAAGCTTTGGAAGTTTCTTGCCTCGTGTCTGAAAGGGGTCCCTCGCGCAGTGGTCGCCCGATGGTCGTTCGTCATTGCGCTCACTACTTATATCCTTAAAACACTCTTTCTTCCACATACGACCATAGGATCATGAAAATTAGGCTTCCCGTCCGCTCAGCCATATACAAGCATGATACCGGCGGATTAGTAGTTAGGTGGGTGACCACTAGCGAATCCCCGCTGTTGTATGTTTTTGACCTTCTTTTTGCCAACCTGGATGGCAAGGACCTTTTTTTGCTTGGGCAGCAGAGTCGTGGAATGCGATACTAGGGTGACTGCCAGCCGTGAAGGTGAGGGTATTGCTGTGTTGATTGAAGGGCTACTCTAAGTTCGTTGTCGCTTGCTCCTACGTGTGCCCTCTTGTTTCACTGTGACCACTGATTGCTCCTCCTCGGGCTCCTTCTTTATGCGCTTTCGTTTGACAAGCTCCTTTCTGACTGTCTCTGCCAAGGCAATGTCCTCTTCCTCTTTCTTTATTGTCACTTCCTCTTCCTTCACCTCGACCTTTGCGACGACTCTATCTGAGAATGCCTTCAGGTCAGCTGTGAATAAGACGGAATGCGCCCATCCAGCTTCCTTCCCCCACAACTTCCGGAACAGGTTTCCAATCGCAGCGTATGTGGCAGCGGTCAGGCTACTGTGCTTTCCCTTACCGAATCTGTAGTCTTTCTGTGCAATCTGCCAGACATGCGTGTCGACGGGTACAGACTCAGACCAGCCGAGACCGAAGAGACACACACAGTCGGCGACCTTTGGGCCTACACCATGGAGGGCAAGCAGCTCCTCGTGTGCTTGCCGGTAGCCCTCGCGACCACCTTCGAGCATCTCTCCAGCCGGCTTCTCTTGTACGCCAAACTGCGGACACTCTGGATTACTCAGGTCCTCCAGCCACTTCATACCCTTGTCTTCAGAGACCATCCGCGCAGTCTTCGCGATGTATTTGGCCCGATATCCAAATCCAAGCTTCGTGAGATGCGCTTCGACGTCGGGGCCTGAGAGGGCATCGGGCGTGGGGAAATCGTGGTAGGGTATGTCGTCGATAGTTCCTATATGCGGTCCGTAGTGCAAGCAGAGATTGTGCACCATACCAGATATGCGACTGATGTTGTTGTTGCTACTGCATATAAAGCCGATGAGTGCCTCCCAAGCATCCTGCCGCAGAATTCTTATGCCTGTGAACTTGGGTGCGCGCTTCTTGAAGTTGGCGTCGGAGGCTGCCCATTGTTCGTATAGCTGGCCAAGTTGGGGCGCAAGGTTGAAGTAGTGCTCCACAAGGGCAAGAGTATCGTCTTCTTCGGGGGCGACTGAGGGCGCCTTGGACGGAGGCGGCGTAGGGAGAGCGGTGGTGACAGGTGGATACGTCGCGCGATAGTGGAGATATTCGGCATCTTGACGGAGGGAGAGTATGCGACCATGGAGAACCATCGACCACACGTCATCAGCTGACTTGCGCCATCTAGTCGCGTGTTAGGAAATGATGCGACTCGAGTACTAGCGACAGGGGAAGATACCTGAACGATTGGCCACATCGCAGCGTGGTGTTGATGCATAGCTCGGTGAGACTTGTAGGCAACTTGTGCCATTCAGCAGCGCGCAGAGCCATTGTCTTTGGTAGTCGTGGTGTGCGCCAGGAGTGAATGATGCATCATCGGCTGGGTCTGGCCTCGGTGGCAGGGGTAGCAGCGCCAAGGGAACGGGCGCGCTAAGGCAGGCCCCGACTTTCTCTCACACGTTTTCCGCGACGGCAACCGCAACCACGCACAAGCATCGCGTCCTAGAGCCGGGACAACTGCGAGTGGCTGATTCATCCGTTGTTCTATGATCCAGATCTGCTAATTGCAGCTTCTCTTGCCATCTCAACCCCGACAGCAGCAGCAGCATCTTACGCGGCTGAACATCACGACGGCGCGCAAGAGCTCCTAGCACCCACATTCGCCCACCATGAACGGCGACAGCTATTCCAGAGGTAAGCGAGTCTATCAGTACACGTACTGACTAGTGCACAGCTCCCAGAATCAAGACTAACACAAGCAGACGGTGGCCGATCAAGCGGATCGCGCAACTACGTGAGTGCCGACACTCGTCGCGACAAAAGCGAGCGTTCACTGACAGAGCAGTCCTCGAGAGATGACCATCGCGATCGCGGCGAACGGGGCGACCGTGGTGGCGACAGGCGCCGCCGTCGTTCCCGCTCCCCACGCCACGGCGGAGGCTCCCGCCGTGACTACGAGGTAGACACGTACTCCTCCAGCCGCGACTACCGTGAGCGCGAGCGCGAAGACACATACGCCCGCCGTGAGCGTCGCGATGACCGGGGCGAGCGTGGAGGAGAGCGTGGTGCCGAGCGTGGTGCCGAGCGTGGGGCCTGGGGCGATTCCTACTCTCGACGCGACCGACCTCGAGGAGACCGCGACCGCGACGACGACCGCGGCCACCGACGCGAACGCGGAGACCGCAACGAAAGGGGCGGCGACCGATTTGGAGGCGAAGAGCGCAGAGGCGGACGGGGAGGACGCGATGGAGGCTTCGGCGGTGGACGTGATAGGATGCGTCAGCAAAAAGAGGAGTCTCCGCCCTTCAACAAGCCGCGCGAGGCTACGCCCGATCTCACCAGCTTCACAAACATTCAGAAGCGCGAGCGTCGCATGACACAATGGGACATCAAGCCCGCAGGTTACGAGAACATCACCGCCGAGCAGGCCAAGCTGTCAGGCATGTTCCCGCTGCCCGGAGCTCCTCGCGCTGCGCCCATGGACCCGTCCAAACTCGCCGCCTTCATCTCGCCCTCTGCAGGAACCGCCACCGCTGCCGCCCTTGCAACATCTGGCGCGAAGCAGTCGAAGCGTCTCTATGTCCACAACCTGCCCTCGGGCTGCACTTCCCAGGAGATCATGGAGTTCTTCAATAACCAACTTAACGGTCTCAACGTTGTTTCTGGCAACGACCCCTGCCTGTCGGCCCACATCGCTACCAGTAAGGAATACGCTGCATTGGAGTTCAAGGCACCCGAAGATGCGACCCTCGCCTTGGCTATGAATGGCATTTCCATGCGCGATGATGGAGGCGCACCTGATAGGTCGGGTCTGTCTATCCGCCGTCCCAAGGACTACATAACCCCCACCGCCGACGAGAACGCATACCCGCCCGGCGATGAGGTTTCGTCCATTGTCAAGGACAGTCCCAACAAGCTGAGCATCGTCAATATCCCCACGTACATCGAAGAGGAGCAGATCCGAGAGCTTGTAGAGACCATGGGCAAGCTCAAGGCCTTTACTTTGGTCAAGGACACCGGCACCGACCAGCACCGCGTAAGCAGCCTCCCAATCACTATTCCCACTGAACTGACACAATCCAGGGTATTGCATTCTGCGAGTATGCTGACAACGGAGTCATCGACGCCGTCATCGAAGGTCTGAACGACATCCCACTCGGCGATGGTAACCTCAAGGTTTCGCGCGCGACCGTCGGACTTCAGCAGACGACTGGTCTCGACGGTGGAGTTGGCGCCATCTCCATGTTGGCAGGAGCTAGCGCTGCTGAGAACCATGAGCACAGCCGTGTCATATGCCTGATGAACATGGTCACATCAGACGAGCTACTCAACGATGAGGAATACGAAGGTAAGCTCGGCAATATTACATGAAACATTGCGCAATTCTAACGTCGACCAGAAATCAAGGAAGACATCGAAGAGGAGTGCGGCAAGTACGGACCCATCATCGAGACCAAGATTCCCCGCCCCGCCGGTGCCCGCGTCAACCTCGGTGTTGGCAAGATCTACATCAAGTACAAGGATACAGAGTCTGCGCAAAAGGCTATCAAAGCACTTGCCGGTCGTCAATTCTCCCGGAGAACTGTTGTCGCGACAGAGTTCTCCGAAGAGGGCTTCGACGTTGATGCCTGGTAGATATAAGATTGTTTAAGTTGCGCGTTCGACTTCTTCAGGTTGGTGCAATTGCACACCATTATTGCCGCGTTGGGGAGTACCAAAACGGGAGAGTGAAGCTCAGCATTTGTACACTAATTTGGTTCCAGGGGATGTTAGCATGTCCATCTGTGAGATGGTACAAGTATTTGCCTGTATCTTGAATACCTAGGCTAGAGTGCTAGATTGCACTCATAGTAGCTTGCCTAGATATCATACCGCATTGTTATCATAGACGATGAATCTGCATTGTGACTTGTGGTGTTTATGATGGACTGAGCAGCATGCGGGCTCTGTTGGGGTTGAGATGTAGTGCTGACAAGCGCGAATACCTGCGTGCTTCGACCGCGCAAGATGGGTCATTAGAAGGAGCGAGACAAGCACGAACCCTGGATTACGGACAAGGAAGTGGTCAAGTCAACCCGCCACGGCACTGTTGGACCGCACTTGCGAGGATCATGGACGAGAGCTAATTTCGTGCTAATTCCGTAGCTGCCGTCAATAAGCCCGACGCTACTGAAGATCAGAGAACAGTTTGGTCCGTCACGGTCCTGCGTGGTCCGTCACACTCAACAGTAGCTTGTTTGGCCACGAGTCTTAGGAGATGCTGCCTAGGAAGGTCTGGAACTCGGTGATATTAAACCCCAAGAAATTACCTTCTCGGTGCTGGACGGACAGATAAAAAGCGAACCCCCGCGTGCCGTCAAGGTGCGCACTTGCCCTAGTCAATCGCGACCTACAAGGCCACCGCGATATCACGACTTTAAAAGCACAAGAGCTCCCTCAACATCGAAAAGCTCGCATCATCATTCCGACCAACACCATCCAGGCTCGTAGCTCATCAAGCGTCATGGCAAGTATCAGGCGGTTCTTCTACTCCCAACTTTTTGTTACACCTCCCAAGCCCACCGGTGACCTTACTGGCAAGACTGTCATCGTTACTGGCTCCAATATCGGTCTTGGAAAGGAAGCCGCACGTCACTTCACCCAGCTCAACGCATCCACCGTGATCTTGGCCGTGCGCTCCATTGAGAAAGGCGAAGCAGCGCGCAAGGACATCGAATCAACTACAGGCCGCAGCAATGTAGTCAAAGTCATGCAGCTCGACATGTCATCCTACCAATCCGTCCTCGATTTCGCCCAAAAAGTGAGCAAAGAGCTAGAGCGAGTGGACATTGCAGTCCTCAATGCCGGTGTCAACCGCCGCGAATGGGAGGTTTTCGAACAAGACGAATCTACCATCACCGTGAACGTGGTATCCACCTTTTTGCTGGCCTTTGCGTTATTACCCAAACTCAAGGACACGGCAAGCAAGTTCAACACCAGACCCACGCTTACCATTGTGAGCTCCGAGGTGCACGAATGGGCGACTTTCGACGAGAAGAACGCACCCGAAGGAAAGCTGTTCGAGAGACTCAACGAGAAGGTTGTCAATGGAAAGGAGGTTGGACTCAGCAATCGATATCAAGTCAGCAAGCTACTGGAGTTACTTTTCGTCCGCGCATTCTGCCAGCGATATCCTGAATCGGCTATTCCTGTCACGGTAAACCTGGTTAACCCTGGCTTCTGCTACTCGTAAGTCTCCTGTACCCCACTGCACTGGTTGTATTGTGCTAATTTCCCGAAAGTGAATTGAGTCGCGAAGATGGTATTGCCCTCGTAATTGCAAAATTCCTGCTTGCACGGAAAACGGAAGTCGGGTCGAGGACTCTTACGCACGCTGGTATTTCGGGTGTTGAGACGCATGGAAAGTATCTCAGTGACTGTGAGATCACGGAGCCGAGTCCTTATGTGCGGAGCGAGGAGGGTAAGAGGGATCAAGAGAGGGTTTGGAAGGAGCTGACAGCAAAGTTGGAGGTTAACAAGTCTGGGATTACAGAGAGCTTTTAGGGCGGCGATACAATGAATCGGCTTTTGGATGCACATGAGCTACGACTAGTGACTTACGGAGAACATTGCAGTGAACACGAACATTCTTGTCTGGGTATGTTTGCCTGCATTCTTCACCAGTTCTACTCTCACACACGCCTGACCGAGAGCTCAGGTCTATAGTCGTGGCCACCGATATGTATACTGACTATTCCGTCGTACCGGTTCGAAAGTATCTTGATGCTGTCGAGGATATGGCCGTACCGACTAGATGCACAAAAGTTCCCGGTCGCACATATAGATGTCTACTGTTATCGCCAAAGTCTCACCTCGCTCCATACTAGCTCGCCAGGCGCATTCCGTACGTTATATCGCAGATTATTGCCGCTTTCTTACCTCTTTTTTGATACAACCTTACCTTCAACGCTCGGTGACTTGGAGTCCGCGAAAGCGACGTGGTCTCCGTGGCGTTGCACGAAAGTCTACGAAAGCTCTCATCCAGGCCATCGTATACCTTTTAGAGAAGTGTGAGTATCTAGAGACCATCCACATCCGGGTCGTAGTCGAGGTCCACAAGACGGAGTATTGTTATCTGGATTAAAAGCAGTGCAAGCTGCACTCTCGCTACGGCGCATCTTAGTGCTGAAATGGGGTTTACGGTTTCACAGTACCGGCAACGGGCTGCTTGGAACGTCTGGACAGGGTGGAGGATTGGGCAAGGTCTTATCTTGATTGGTCGCGGATGCATAAGCCAGATTGGGAATTGAATGGGTGACTTGTAGTCTTTGAACTTAGCGCTTTCAGTGCGAGGTCTGTTAGAGAGTTGAATCCCTGGAACAAGAACTTTCATATATTGCACTAAGCTACTGATCGGTACATGTAAATGATCAACATTCTCCTCGTTACACTTTGGTGTTGTCTTACTGACAGCTGCAACAGTTCAAAGATCAATCTCAGTTGCAGGTCTAGCAATGTTGGCACGCCAATGGTGCGCGTTTAGCGGGTTCTTCTGGTAGACGTTGACCTCGAAGAACTTGTTGTGGGCTGTACACTTGTAGTTCTTGAACCTACAGTGATGTTAGCCATACGAAGTTCTCATTATACTCCTTCCCCAGTTCTTACGTGTTCAGCTTCTCGAAGTTGGCATCAATGAGCCACTGCTCGGTCACTTCGACGAATGTACCATCGGAGCCGGTGACAAAGTATCGTTTGCTGTCAAGTGGGCCATAGTTGGTTTGCTTGACAAACTGAACTGCAAATGTAATGTCGGTCGCAGACGGCGCTGCATCGGATGAGACGATGTCGCTTTCCTTGGGGTAGGTGGCCCAAGCCATGAAGGTTTTGAACTTGGGTTCATGAGACAGAATGCGGTTCCTGTATCCCTGAATATTGGAACAACAGAAAATAGAAGACATGATTCGCAATATGGGTCTCGATCAAACTGAATTTTTACTTGCAGCGAATTGATGAGCTCCGTGCGAGACGTGTCGCTCTTATGGTTGCGCAGTGTTTGTTAGCCACCAATCAACGATAGATATGCACACTTGAGGCCTACCGCCTGCGGCATGGTCCACCGATCCTTTTGAAGGGGATGTCTTTGACTTCATCTTGCATAAGCGTGGCCGCACTGAGCCTGAAGATGATTTTTGAGTGAGTGATACCGGTGTGAGTGGGTCTGACGCGTCAACACATGCCTTTGAGCATCTAGATAAGTCGATATGCAGCTTCCACATATGGAACCTACTACACATCTCATGTAGTGGGAGTGGCGGCATTCCGTCACTACATACTTGTTGCTCCTCCATGCTGCCAGAGGTGGCTAGATGCTGCGTGGCTTCTTGATACATACACAGTATTGAAGCTTAACAAGTGAGTAGTCTTTAAGATCATGTATACTTAAACCTCTGTTGATATTGATGATAAATGTGACACGGCATGTAGTAATCCCAATAACACCGATTCACGAGATAGCATCTCTGATATATCACGCTAGAGACGGAAAATATGAAGTCCAAATAATTATGGGTATCGTCAAGTCTTGATTGTTGTCTTAACTAACTACTACTTCAATTGTGCGTGGTCTGGGTGCTGAGATTTGATGTGCCTGTTCAGATTGTCCTTACGCGGCATACTCTTCCCGCACCACTGAACCGGACACACAAACTGCGGTGTATCAAGCGGTATTCCAAGCTTCCTTCGATGTGCTTTAGTTTGCTTGTGGCGCTCCAAATCCTTTTTGGCATCCTTGCTATCTCGAAAGTATGCGTCACAGGGCTCACATTTGTACATTTCGTGTGTCCGCAAGTGCAGCCTACCGGATGTTAGCGCTAGATCCTTCTAGCTTCGTCCCGACTTACCTCAATCTGGATGGCTGCTGGAATGTTTGTCTGCATGTTTGGCACGTGTGGTCTGCTTGGTGCTTTTGAATGGTAGTAGAAGGCTGTAGCTGAGATTGGAGTGGCGTTGACGATGCCGGCTCATAGTCATTATGTGGAACTGGAAGAGAGTGTTGTGGCCGTGGGGAGTACACTACGCAATCGGGTAAAGGAGGAAGTCCATCTGTCTCGGGTGGTTGCTGCTCTTCCTCGCTTTGCGGGTATTGGGAAGGCTGGTTCGCTGGCGGAACACAGGTCGGGTTTTCCCGAAGGTCAAGCAAGCGCGGATCGATAAAAAGGTGATGTTCGTGTAAATCTTCGTCTCGAAAGTTGCCTGCTCTAGATCCGGAAATTAAACGCTACTACGAGGGTGTAGCGGCGGCTTTCCTGTGTTCCGAGGGTACGTCCCAGGCTCCCAAGGAGGCAAGAGAAACGAAAAAGAGCGATGCGAGAAGATGGAAAGAAAGACGAAAAGAATGGACGCTCTGGCGGCCACAGGCCCCACGGTGAGGAAGGAAAAAAAACGACTGGAGAGTTGAGGGCAGTTATATGCTCGAGATACCGACTGATTGAGAGCTGATTGGCCAGACACTAGTTTGTAGGCCTCGAATTTAGCGCCTACGTGTAATCATCCATGCATGCGACAACGCAAAAACGGGTGGGATCGCCGTTGGACATCCCTGACCCCGCCGCCATCTTCTCGCGCATCGGAGCACGCCACACGAGGGAAACAAACACTCTGCAGTCTACATTAGATTTAGAACAAAAGTGAGTAAGCTTTACCGCGGAATGTAGACTTCTAGGTCATTTGATTCTATAATCTGCTGTGGTTATGTTAGATTTTTTCATGGGATGGGGTGGCACGATTGTCTCTGTAAGGTCGCTTCAATGTGCTTTCAGGGTTGACACACGTAGTGTACACTACAAGATGACATGACTGAGAAGCTAAAGGCTTGATTCGTCTATACTACACAAAATACAACTAAAGGGTATCGTCTCATCTAATTATAAACTCCTAATTCTTGAGCACGTAACGGTACCTGGGAAGGCCCTTCTCAAAGTCAACGATGACATCGTTGGCCTTAGACATAGGCCTAACCTGGACCCAAGCCTTGAGGTTGGTCTTCTTGGCCAACTCCAACATGTCGCGGATGTGCTGCCTGGTACCGATCAAGCTACCAGCGATCTTCAAGTTCTTAAAGATGAGACCCATGGGGGAGAAAGAGGGCAATGGGTCATCGGGAGCACCGAGCTGAACGAAAGTACCGTTGACGTCGAGGAGGTTGAGGTACTGGTCGAGAGGAAAGCCACCGGAGATGGTGGAGATGATGATGTCGAGACCGGCGGCATTCTTGTTCATCCAGTCGGGGTCCTCGCCGGTAGCGATGAACTTGTCAGCGCCGAGCTCAAGAGCATCAGCCTTCTTGCTGGAGGAACGGGAGATGGCGACAACCTCGTCACATCCGAGAGCCTTCGCGAAGAGGAGAGCGAAGTGACCGAGACCACCGATACCAACGACACCAACGCGCTTTCCTGGGCCGGCACCATAGGAGACTAGAGGGTTGTAGACGGTTACACCACCGCACATGAGGGGAGCAGCGAACTCTGAAGGAAGACCCTCAGGAATCGGGATAGCGAAGGCGGCAGGTCCACGCCAATTCTTTGCGTAACCGCCCATGGCCTTGTCACCAGTGCTGTACTTCGCGTTGTATGTCATGACGAAGTTGTTGCAGTTGCTCTCCTGCTTGGTCTTGCAAGGCCTGCAGCCCTCGCAGCAGTCGCTCTGAGCACCAACACCAACGCGGTCGCCGACCTTGAGGTCTTTGACATCGTCTCCTACGCGGGTGACCTTTCCGATGATCTCGTGACCGACGACGAGAGGGTAGTCTGAGGGGCCCCAGCCGGAGCGGAGAGTGTGGATGTCAGAGCCGCAAACACCGCAGTGGCTGATCTCCATCTCGATGTCGGTAGACTCGAACTTCTTGGGGGTGTAGTCACCCCATTGCATGTTGCCATCGGCGGCGGAGGGGTCATGGGCGACCCATCCCTTGAAGTCTGGTGAGGAAGACATGATTTTTTGGTGATGTTACTGAATGGAGGGGGAGTGATGAACAGTTGTGAGAGAGGTTAGGATTGTTTGATGAGATGCAGCACCTACAACTACTCATCTTCAGTCTTATACCTATACACATTTTCTAGAAGTTTTCCAGCATTTGTAATACATCAAGAGACGGTATGAGGTTGCCGTTTCGTTATCCTAGTGTTTTGCTCTTTCGCCGATCTACGCCGACGGCATCGGACCCACTTTGACGACGTTTTTGAGCCTCAAGTGGTGCGTGCACAACATATCCGTTAAACCCGCCCTCACCGGTCCGATAAGGGTATGGGTCTGAGGCGACAAGACTGCAAAACTCTCGGACGAGGCTCGCGGTGAAGACGTCAATCTGGGGCCAGTCCCGTAACGTGTATCATCGATCTGCCGCGACACGTGGACAGCTCAAGGAGGAAGGCGTTTCGCGCAGCGCTAATCTAGCTCCCGTTGACGTGTCGGGATTTAGAATCGGTTCGAATCTTTCTATGCTTCTAGACCTAGTTGTGTTGTTATGTCAACATCTCAGATATCTCCTTTGCGTTGACCGCTAAGCTGAACACGCGCGCCTTCTTCAACATACAACCCACCTTATGCCATTGTCTTATGCGCTTGGCCTAATGCTACCGGGTTTTATATCTCTCAGAAAGGGCCGGGGTCGTCATGCACAAGATCGTGTGACCGGAAGTTGCATCATAACAAGTTAGCATATCAGGAACCAATTGAAGTAGTAGCAGATCTCGAGAGAAGATATCGCCGTAGCATTAGTGCGAAGAACCTCCTTCCCATCATGCAAGTTTCTCTTTCATCCACTCAAGACCCTTTTTGAGCACATGCTTCGCTTCTTCGTACTCTTGCCACTGAAGTTCCACTTCGGCCCTTTTACGTTCAAGCGGTTCGCGTCCTGGTCGAGAGAGCCTTGCGTCATAGGTTCCAGTGCCGTCATCGAGCTTGATCTTGATGATGCGCTCCTCTTCGACATGACCGCAAAGGGTATCCCACACACGTTTTGTTACTTTGTCGAGTGAGAGCGTCGGTCTGATGTCTTCGTATCGACAGATAATTGGCAGCTTGATGGAGAATCCGGAGGTGCGAGACTTCATCTGCAGGGGTAGTATTCGTTCGCCGAAACCATGTTCGGAGCCATACGACACCTCATTGAGGGCTTTAAGCGCACTTGTCCTTATAGACACCGTTAGCTTTTCCAGAGACATACCAGATTAGCTAGGCAATTAATGTATGTAGAAGTTAGAAGTCAGTTGCTTCGTACAGAAAGTAAGGATCTTGGATACGGTTTATTTTACTTACCAGTAAGCAAGCCCAAGATTGCGCTGAAGTCGCGCCTGCGATTCGAGTGGCCATGCAAAAGTCATTCACAGCTGGTCAGTAACAAGTCCTGTTCAGCTTCACGAAATCATCTAAGGCGTTAATTGCGCAGCGCCACGACTGCCCCATGAGGCGATTACGTATGGCACTTCAAGGTGGTGCTGCGTCTGGGGGGTATGAGAAGCGTGGCGCTGCATTTTGAGTACCGATTTGAAGATATCAACAAAGTTCACGGGCGGCCGATAAGTTGACGATGAAGAACAATCGCTATATTGAATCTCAACTCCTGAAATGTGAAGATTGTTGGTGTTGAGATTTCGCGAGACATAGGCTGAAGCGTAGATGATGCCTAGCGCCTTGACAGTCGTCATAGCCCGAACTCTCGGTGGCAGAAGATTCCGGAGAAACCACGATGCCGCTTAAGACTTTGGGTATACAAATATCTCGATCCAAATTTTCCACAGTCCCAAATTCGAGCGGGTGGCGTTTTTAGTCTTCGCAAAAACGAGTATGCTGGGCTCTATATGAACGACGTGCGGCGGGCAGCGTTGTGAGAATATGTGTCCCATGTCTTCAGATGGTTGAGGCAACGATCGTGGCTACGAGATATCGGCAACACCACCTTCTTCAGTGTGTCTGAATGACTGCATAGTCCTTGCGTGTGCGACAAACAAAGAGTTCAGGTTTCACACCATGTAAACCCAGACAAAGAAACCAATACTTACTTCATTGACAATGCATGCTTGATGTAGCTCACTCGAAATCTCAGAACACCGTTTCTTCCCGTCACTATTAGCAGTGCGCGAGTCGAAATTGGCCGTATTGACTATCGACACGCCTCCATCAAGTGGACATAATGACGCCTTGCGAACCCCTGACCAACAAGCATGCCGTAGGTGAACAGATTGGAGCTCATGCGGTATTCGTCATTAGCGGTGATGAAGACATTGAAGAAGACTCGCGGAACGATGTTTCGATAACACCAAGAGTCGAACACGGACACCGAGTTGAACCTTTCGAAACCTTTCAGCACAAAGCTTCGCAGCTCATCCTCGATCTATTTCCTGATTACTGCGCGCGAGACGTCAAGATCGAGCGCATGCAAGACGGAGAAAACAATCGCTTCATAAGCGTCACGATTTGTAAGATCCCACCTAAAGCGCCATGGTACACTACTCGGAGAATTCGCGAAGTACTTCAGCCATGTCTTACAGGTCGGCCGACACGTCAAAGCAAGCCAAAGCGTCTTGTTCTACGAATACCACACAATCCCGATCAATACATGCACCATCAAACTGTCATTTTAGCGTATACGGGCCAGAAGCTCAAACATCCAATCCCCAAGATTGTTACATTGGATGCGACAGCACATAACGCGCTAGGTCGATCGTACATGCTCCAAAAGCGGCTGCCTGGCCAACGCCTGGACGTCCTCTGGCCAACGTTGAACCAAGCCCAGCGACTCAGTGCCGTGCGAGCCATCTCCCCCATTTTGCTAGATGTAAGGAAGATAAGGAACAAGTGCCCTGGTCTCATCGGCATCCGCAACACGACCTACGATCTCAAGCATGATTTCGTCAGCACAGAGCCAATACCCATTCCCCGTTTCAGAAACACCCCCCACCAGGTATGTGTAAACGTGGCACTTTCAGAGCCGCAAAGCACAAAAGACTTCTTGCTCGATCTGTGCGCTCGCCAGCGTGCGTATGCGAGTGTTGCGAAACTACCTGCTTGCAACGATCTTTGGGGTAGGATGGTTGGGATGATTGAAGGACTACATGAGTCCGGCCTGATTCCGGATTCTTCACCGTTTCACTTCTACCATGGCGACTTCCATCCACGCAATCTCCTCGCCTCTGTCACTTCCGAGTCAAAAATACGGATTACCGGAATCGTGGGCTGGGATTTCGCGCTTTTCGCGCCAGCTTTCATGAGTACGCACGCTCCGTTCTTTCTATGTAGTGGCGATATTGGCAAAGAAGGCGGGGAGGGCGATGCGCTGGCCGAACCGGAGGATGCGGAGTTATTGGAGGCTAAGCGTGTTTTTGAAAGTGTTGTAGACGAGAGGTTCCTGAAAGAGGCGTACTCCCCAGCATTGGTTCTCGCGCGCCGGTTGTGGCGTTTTTTGGTTATTGGTTTCACAAATGGTGAGGATATCTTTCTTGCGGAGGAGATTGTTGAAGAGTTCGAGAAATTGTATTCATCAGCGCAGGCTGAGTGTGGATGAAGAATGACAGGCTCTTGTGACGTAGCATCAAATTGTTCGCCGATCCAATGGTACCTAGCCGAGAAGTCTATAATTCTACAATTCAAAGACACCGCAGCTGCTTTTACTCAGTATCATCTCCAAAGCAACAACAGAAAGGTCTCCTTCTCTAGCACGAGGTCTTTATACTATCGATCTAACACCACCTACAGGCCTCTCATTTGGTATACTTGCGTTTACTCATCGTAGCGATCCTTTAACACAAAAGCTCTGTGGTCGAGTAGACACTCGTCGTTGCGTGTATCGAAGAAAGCGGGTTGAGTGATACCCTGTAGTTCATAGCCGCCAGATGGCCAGCCATCTGGGAACGAGAGGTGCTTCGTGTATTCCATCGCAAGCGAGTGACGTCAGTGCCTGGCATGAGCCAAGCATATTTTCCAACAATTCAAGGTGACACTCAAAGTAGTCCAGCCGTATCTTTTGCACTTTGGATGTCTTGGGAGGACATTCCCAGGTACATGGTGGGTCGTTGATGCTGGAACTATGGTAGTAGTGACGTGACAGAATCACCTCTAGTGGAGAGTCAAGCTGAAGGATGTGGGATAGGAAATTGATGCATAATCCTTTCATTTGAATGCTCAGTCTTCTCAGCCGTGTGAATTGGTGAACACGACCATAAGATATTCCTCGGCCAGCGCATATAATAGGTAGTAATGCCGCCTGTGGTTGTCGTTGATCATGACTGGTCTCCGGCAAAATAATCTCCTGTGACCGTTGTTCAACACCTGCTTCTGGACAGTCGTTCAAGGCGACAACCTCGATGTTGGATGTGAGGTACAGGATCAAGGCTGATTCCAACGCACTGAATGCGTCTTCGCCTTTGCGGACAAGTGCAGTATATTCTTCTCCTTCGGGTATATCGAGAGTCTCAATCTTGGAGTAGATCATCTGTATGCTTTGAAAGCTGCGAGCGCGAGGTTTCATGAGATAACTGGACCTTGTGACGTTGTATCCTTCATGTCCGACCTCTTTCATCTCTTTGACCAATGAACCTAATGCCGGATTGGTGATTAGACTGCTGATAAATCTCGTTGATGGGTTGTGATCGTAGCAGTGGTTGTAATCTCTGTACATCATGGTTGTGGCGGCACGGTTGAGAGATCGGCAGGTCAGTGCTATCGATGCGTAGTCGAGAATCGGCCGTCTAAGTTGACCCATCACTGTGAAGTTACTTCTTGGGCTATCAACATTGGGCAGGTATTCAAGATCCTCAGTAGAATCTCGTCTGGTAGTGCACTGATACGACCTTGAGTCCCGTTTGCAGATGCGTCCTTCGAAAGCTGGGAGGATTCGGACTGGCTGACTTGACCTCTTTTGGGTGTCCCTGTGTTCGGCCGGCCGCAATTTGTAATTTTGGCCATGGTGCTTGATGAGACTTCTGTAGTGTGCGCCTACATATGGAGAGCGGGATGGATTGCACGAAGGTGGTTCCTGGCGGTGAAGCTCGCTCGTGTTGTCGCTAAAAACCGTTTTTGGCCCTTATTCCCTGCCACTCCACCACCGACGCGTCAGTTTCGCGTTCGCTGCAACGCGTATCTTGGGCCATACTTGACCATGACATCAACACTCAACAGTATATACGAGACTCATTAATGGATGCAGTCGTATTTTCTGCAGCTTATTGTACTAAAAAGAACACAGCTGTTTTGCCAGCGCCACTGATGCATCGAGCCTAAACCCGTCCTCAGGCAGCCACCGGTTGCACATAGAAAGGATAGTCTGTGTACCCCTTTTGCGGCGGATCAGCGCCGTAGAAGGTGTCGCGATCGTACTGATTTAGCTCCAGGCCCTCAGCGAGGCGCTTGGGCAGATCCGGGTTCGCTATGAACCATCGACCGAATATGATGAGATCAGCATGTCCAGACTCGACCTTTGGCGCGGCATTGTCTCTGTTGAATCCACCAGCCGCAATGAACTTCACACCACCCTTCTTTAGGATGTTTCGGAAGTTGACGAGCGTGTTGCCCTTGACCTTGACCGTCGCCTCCGCTTCCACACCTTTGCCTCCTTGTGTGGTGTAAGCGGCCAGAGCGTCCATCTTGGCTTGCTCGTCGAGAACTTCATCGAAGCGCGGTTCAACCCTGGCTATCGTCAGCATTTATTTGAGGTTTTGTGTGGTCTAACTCACATGTGGACGTATGCCGGCCGCTCATCCTCCGGCAGCGACGCGATCTTCTCGCACAGGTACTCCCAGTGATCGTTGGGGTTGCTATCCTTGGTGTTCTGGAAATAGTTGTATGGGCTGAGACGGATGCCAACTCTATCAGCTCCGATGGCTTTGGAACAGGCTTGGATGACTTCGAGCGGAAAGCGACTGCGACCTTCGATTGACCCGCCATACTGGTCCGTTCTCTTGTTGACATTGTCGTGTAGGAACTGATCGAGCAAGTATCCATTCGCGCCGTGGATCTCGATACCGTCGAAACCGGCCTCAACCGCCTTCTTCGCGGCTTCTGCCCAGGTCTTTGTCAAACCTTGAATTTCTTCAACGGCCAGTGGCTTAGGTGGATGATCGGCGCACGCAACACCGTCAAGCCAACTACCCTCCATGGGCACGTCGCTCGAGCTGACGGTTGGCGCTCCGGCCCGGAAGGACGGTGGACTAGCACGTCCAGTATGCCACAACTGGCAGAAGATGTACCCGCCTTTTGCGTGGACAGCATCCGTGACCTTCTTCCAGCCGGCGATTTGGGAGTCCGAGAATACACCCGGTACACCTGGGTATCCGCTGGCCTAGAACAAGTCAGCATGTTTGCTTCGACTGGTCGCGCACTACCCACGTATTTGGCAATGTCAGTGGCCTCTGTCAATTGCAATCCACCCTTGCTTGCGCGTTGGCTGTAATACTCAACGTGTAGCTCTTTCGGTACGAACAGTCCATCATCCTCTTTGGTTGCTCGCATGCGTGTCAATGGCGCCTGCACGATTCTGTGCTCAAGATCCAGAGGTCCGAGTTTGAACGGCGAGAAAAGCGCAGTCTCTTTGAGTGGCTTGAAGCCTGTCGGGCTATCTGCTTTCGGCATATCTGTTGATTTCGCACTTGCACCGGGAACTGCAAAGGGGAGAGAATGAAGTCGTTGCTGCCACAAAAGATTTGTAACAGCTGCATGGCTGCTGCTCAGGGTCTCCTATGTACCTGGCGCTAGGGCCAAAAACGGTGGTCGCCATCGCCGCAGATCCCATGTTAGGGAGTGGTGTTTTCAGATACAGAAATGGGGGAGGGGCAGATGCAGCAAGGCGTATGATGAGGCTGGTGTTTGCGGAGTACGAAGAAACAGCCATCTGTACGATACTGTTGCGCTGTGGTCCAAGAGTGGGGTACTGTGGGCCCGGCCATCGGAAAGGCGAAATCGTCTATCATCGGAACAGTCGTCTCGCGCCAACAGGCCAATCAGCGACCGCATTACGTGAGAAGGGTGTGAATACTGCGGAAACGGACGTCAGGTGAAGATGTTATGAAGAGAACATCGCGTTCTCAGTTGTCTCGGTCTCATTACCTGTCTGCTTAAGTCTGACACCCGTCATGTCTTTGCCGATTCCGCCGAAAAGCAGTGCAGATCCGCCGCGGGGCCTTTCCGCTACCGAAGCCCTGACACCTCTCATCGAGACAACATTCAGAACACCAGAAATAACAACGTGGATCAACGGAAGGAGAACGATCATCATCAACCCTAACCCGCATTGGACTCTGTTGGACTACATCCGCGCTCAGCCGAACCTCAAAGGTACGAAGCTGGGATGTGGCGAGGGTGGATGCGGTGCATGCACTGTTGTTCTGCAGGTTGCAGATTGGCAGTCTGAGAAGAAGAGAATCAAGCATCTATCGGTGAATGCATGCCTATTCCCTCTGGTTGGTATCGACGGCAAACATGTCATCACCGTGGAAGGTATTGGCAGTGTTGGCAGACCGCATCCACTGCAAGAGAGGATCGCGAAGTTGCACGGCAGCCAATGTGGCTTCTGTAGGTCGACCCGGACTTTGATCCCGTCATATGTACTGACTATGTCCATAGGTACGCCTGGTATCGTGATGAGTCTGTACGCAGTGGTGCGCAATGCCTACGATCCGGAGACGAAGAAGTTCCATCTCAGCGCTCGCGAGATCGAGATGGAAGGTCACCTGGACGGCAACCTGTGTCGCTGTACAGGCTACAAGCCGATTCTACAAGCCGCCAAGACATTCGTTACCGAGGACTTGAAGGGTCAGTTGGCAGAGGACGACGAGACAACGACTGCCGACGCGGAGAAGTTCGAGGAAGATGTCATTGGTCTGACTCGGAATGGCTGTACAGGCCCTTCCAAGATCTCCTGCGGGCGACCAGGTGGCTGCTGTAGAGACAATCCGTCTGACAGCAGCTCGACAGATACCAAGTCAGATACCTCGTCACTTCCAACGGAGCCTACATCAGCATCAGAAGACGAGCACACCACGGTCGTTCGGGATGCAAAGAAACACCCGCAAGCAGATCCGGCGATTAGCGGCGCAGACTACGCAAGACCACTGAAAAGCAAAGAGCATGGTGCAGCTGCCGAATCCAAGACTGTCACATCCACTATTGAGGCACCGGCGGCCACTTCAAAGAAAGGTGTCCCAAAGATCGAGTTCTCAGAGTACATTCCAGACACCGAGCTCATATTTCCTCCTGCGTTATGGAAGTACGAGCCGCGGCCGCTATGTTACGGTAATGACAAGAAAATCTGGTTCCGTCCTACGAAGCTCGAGCAACTTGTGGATTTGAAAGACGCATACCCCTCAGCCAAGCTCATTGGCGGTGCCAGTGAAGTTCAAGTGGAAGTTCGCTTCAAGAACTCTGACTTTGCTGTTTCCGTCTACATCTCAGATATACCAGAGCTGAAGCAAACGCGGATGCTGAAGCATGCTGAGCTCGAGACAGCCAAAGAACTCGTCATTGCAGCGAACACGCCGCTCACTGAACTTGAGGAGATTTGTAAAAGGGTTTACACAATGCTCGGGAAGCGTGCGATGGTGCTGGAGGCTCTTCGCAAACAATTGCGATACTTTGCGGGTCGTCAGATTCGCAACGTTGCATCGTTAGCTGGCAACATTGCAACAGCATCGCCCATCTCAGACGCCAACCCCGTGCTACTTGCGGCGGGTGCGACACTGGAAGCTGTGAACAAGAAAGAAGGTCACGTCGATCTTCCGATGTCAAGTTTCTTCATCGCTTATAGAACCACATCACTCCCGCCTGACGCAACGCTACATCGAATTCGGATACCTTTGCCCACGAATGAATCGCGAGAGGTCTTCAAGGCTTACAAGCAAGCCAAGCGCAAAGACGACGACATCGCAATCGTCACGGCTGCGTTTCGAGTGCGTCTAGATCCCGACGGTCTAGTGGAGGATGCTTCGATCGTGTACGGCGGGATGGCGCCTATGACGAAAGAGTCGCCCAAAACCCAGAGTGCCATCCTGGGAAAGCCTTGGTTTCATTCGGAAACCCTTGATGCTGCTCTCACGGCGTTGTTACAGGACTACAATCTTCCATATGGCGTCCCAGGCGGCATGGCAGACTATCGGAAAACGCTTACCCTGTCACTTTTCTTCCGGTTCTGGCACGAGTCTGCTGCTGAATTTGGTCTCGGGAACGTTGACGAGCAGGTGGTTGATGGAATCCACCGCGAGATCTCTAGTGGTGCTCGAAATGATTACAATCCCTATGAGCAGCGCGTAGTGGGTAAGCAGGTGGCACATCTATCTGCTTTGAAACAGTGCACTGGCGAGGCGGAGTATATCGACGATATGCCACGACTAGATCGTGAGCTTTTCGGTGGACTCGTCATGTCGACAAAGGCCTACGCTAAGATTGTGAGCGTTGACTGGGCGCCAGCGCTGGACCTTCCTGGTGTCGCTGGCTATGTTGATCGACATAGCATACCTTCGGACGTCAACATCTGGGGCTCGATCAAGAAAGATGAACCATTCTTTGCAGAAGACAAAGTGCTTTACCATGGTCAGGTCATTGGCATGATCTATGCAGAGTCAGCTTTAGAAGCCCAAGCGGCCGCGCGGGCCGTGAAGGTTGAATACGAAGAACTACCCCCCATTCTTACTATCGACGAAGCTATCGCGGCCGAAAGCTACTTTCCGCATGGGAAGAATCTTAGAAAAGGCCTTGCGATCGATGACAAGATGGTCGACGCCTTCGCACAATGCGACAAGATACTTGAAGGCGTAAGCCGGCTGGGTGGACAGGAGCACTTCTACCTCGAGACAAATGCAGCGCTGTCCATACCT